TAAATTAACTAACATTCTCACGCATCATCGATATCTCTGTAATACCAAAATCGCCAAGCCGCCAGAGAAAAATGGCTCTTCTCCCAAAATGCTGTTCACATAGCCATTTAAGATAATGACTGCCTGCTTTAGCATTGGGCATGCGTCTCAAATGGCAGAGAAAGGCAGCCAAAGATTGTACCAAGGGAGAGGCATAGCAGCAGGAGGCAATGGCAGAATGAATAAGAAGACCTGCATCTCTCCAACAAGGCTCCTCACTTTATCTGACGTTTGGATCACTATAACATTTTGAAATACCAAGTATTAGTTATTAGAACCTAGAAGAGCTTTCCAAAATGTAGTACCACTATTCTTTTCTCACTTCGTCGTCTGACATATATTGGCATAACGTTGTAGTATTAGAAAAGTTTTGATGTTTTCTCTGAAATTATCACCTTGTCATCAATTAAAAATGCAGACTTTGGAATAAATATCAGAAACAGTAAAAATAAGTCATTTATATATGTGCAAATATATGCACGGGGCTTTGAGTGGTCAGTGATGACTAGTAAAGCCAAGCAAAATGATTGGTCGTCGCCATTATAAGGGCCAGCGGGAACCCCCCCCCCAAAAAAAAAGAAAAAAAAACTGAATCTCAGTTGAAATAATCAAGTAACAGGGGGCCGGCAATGTTGACAATTAAATAGAAGATGGGTTTAAAATTAATTTTAAAATTTTGACAAGCAAAAAGTCACTATGAAAAAAAGAAAATGGTACAAAAGGAAGTTGGAAGCGTAGGGTTAGCAAGCACCTCGCTTCACCCACCTTGAATCGGTCACTGCTGACATATCTAAAAAAGCTCGTCATGATCCAATTCCATTCTATATTTTCTTTTATTCGATTGGTTGAACTTGTCTTTTTTAATGGTTTGTTGCATGTGATCTCTGATTCTCTTACGGCTCAACCTCATTACGCACGTACCGCTTCTGAAATAACATGTGTTAGTGTGTCTCATTAATTTTCCATCATCTTACGAGGCAATGTAATAATAATATTAATCACCAAACATCAGTTTGTCGTTATTAGGGAGTAAAACTTCTAGGAGGACGATAGGGGATAGGTTGCCCTAATTAAAGAAAACTGATGAGATGCGCGAGCTACGTATACCCTGCATGCGTATACAGCTAATATACGTCAATGTGAACTTATAATCTAATTAACCACAACTTGCACAGTATAATAAACCATATTATTACTAATTAAAAATGACCATAACACTTGAGGTCTTCTCTGATACTTCGCCTATAAATTTATAGGTACACACACTAATTTGTGCCTGCATCTCTTATCATCAAATTAGAATTAAAATCATATATCTTCATATCTCGGATATTTCTCAGGCTTGTTCAGTTTCCGATGGCTGAAATAGCTTCACCACCATCCCTTAAACCCTATACTGATGAGTCTTCTCTCACAGGTGAGGCTGAGTCTTATTCGGCTAAACTTGTGGACGATGAGATTCCCACAGTTGATTACTCCATGCTCTTCTCTAATGATCCTGATCAAGCATCCTTGGCTATAGAACACCTTGGCCAAGTATGCCAAGACTATGGGCTTCTTCACGTAGTATATATCACGCATGCACGCAGCACCAAGGCTCTATGATTTTGCACGACTATATATATCTGCGTGTGTGTGTTGTGTACTCGCATTTATGCATGTCTCAGTTGTGAAACGTAATGTTCTATATGTGATATATATTGCATGCAGCTGGTAAATCATCAAATCCCAGATGAGGTGTTGGACACTCTTTTCAAGGGAATTTCTGAATTCTTTGATCCAACGACGTTACGTTAGAGGAGGAGACATACAGTAAAAGGATCCAACGGACCGAATTAGGTGGGGCCTAAACTGTTCTTCTGGAGAAAATAGGGAATATATAAAGGTGATTGCACCCCCCAGTATCATTTTCCTCCCAACCCATCAAGCTTCAGGTACACTTTTTTTTTTTTTTTTAAACTTCTTTCGATCGTGTTGTCCAGATGGTATATATCGTTAAATGTTTTATCGATTAATGGAATGGTTTTATTTTTGAAATGGGATGTTCTCCCATGGCAGTGACATTTTAGGTGGATACCACAAGGAAATGAGGAAGGTAGTAATGGGATTGGCAAAGGCAATATCGAAGACATTAGGGCTTGAGGAGAGCTACATAGAGAAGGCATTTAACTTGAAATCAGGTAAACAACAATCATAATTAATAAACCCAGTAAATATCTTATTAATATAATGAATCAATGTTTGTAATGAATCAATGTTTGTACCTTGTAAGAGAAATAATTATATATAACCCTTCTTTCTCTGAGGGTGATGACAAAATCCCAAGTATTTCTTGAGGTGACAAAACGAGAGGGCGTAACGTTAATTCATAATAATTAACCTTCTTTCGCGTCTAAATAACATTTTTTAAGATCCCATATATGCATTCATTCATGACTAACTAATAGTCATCTCTGTCTAATTCGCCCTTTCCAAACACAGGGTTCGATGTATCGGCCATGAACCTTTATCCACCAAATTATGTATCGAAAGGCCGCATCGGTTTGCCTGATCACACGGATCCTGGCTTCATTGTAACACTGGTGCAAGATGTGAATGGAGGTTTACAAATTTGTCTCACAAGGGAGATTGGATTAATGCTTATATTCCCCGTCATGCCATCCTCATCCAGCTCGGTGATCACCTCGAGTGCATATATATATATATATATATATATATAGATGCTTTAATTTCCTCAACCATGCCCAGTTAGTGAAAGCGAATCCAGACTAAACTTACTTCTCATTTGCTGAGTCATTATGTATGTAAATTAATGAATGGTTGATCGTGCAGGTCTTAACGAACGGGAAGTATAGGAGTCACATTCACCGGGTAGTTGTTGGCAACAACAAAATGCAGAGGATCTCGGTGGCCACACTTCATGGGCCATCGCTGGACAAACTTTTGAGTCCAGCACCAGCATTTGTTAACGAGGAACATCCACAAGCATACCTTGGCATGACCTATAAGCAGTCCTTAGAAGCTAGCGGAGCAGACGAGATTGATGTGCAGTCATCTCTTGACCAAATCAGGCTTCTCAAAGTCTAATCTGTTGGCCTTACGCGCACTTCTGTGTGTTGGTGCGTGCGTGCGTGTGTGCATAGTATAGCATAGTAATTGCACTGCATTAAATAATATCCACCGCCCTTGTTGCGCCGTGTTGTGTATGATTAATTATCATGATAATTAGTGAATGAATCAATTAGCGTTGTCCTAATTGTATGTTATATATATGCACCCTTCCATATATAACATATATGCATGAGAGTGATCTTGAAACATTAACCATTTGGTTGTCTGTGTCTGGGCGTGTGTTAATTACCTAATTAATCTTCAACTTATGCGCTTGCAGACCATTTGTGTCCTACTTTATAATCCAAACTACACGTTGGACGAAATACTTAATGTGTAGCAATAACATGCAGATGCATACTATTCACACCAAAGTTGAATTTAAAAATTCAATCTTTTAATTGTATGAACGAAACTAACGAACTTGATTTGACCCAGTAAAAAAAGAATTCGAGCACGCCACGATTTATACATGGCGCTAATTAATATTAGACCAAAAGAAGGATTTTGATTAATATGTCATCAATTAGGCTCATGACTTATTAAGTAATGCAGTAGTTATAAATTAGCAACTTGAGCACACGCCCAAGGATATGCTTCCTCAACTGGAACGAAACAAAGATGTTTATTACAACATACTCTTCCGGTCCTAAATAAGTTACTGCAAAAAAGATCTTATATTTAGAACGAGTATATAAATTCAAGAGAGCGAGAGTGGAATTTATATATTTGCGTGCAGTCTAAAACAATTTTTTTAACGATAAAGTCAAAATGGGTTAAGATTATCTAAACTGGGGGACATGGAGTTTGTAGATGGATGAGATGTTGCCACGTGGGAAGCTTTCCCCGACCCATGCATGTGCTTCTTGATCCCGCAGGCGATCAGGCGCTGAATTTGGCGTATGCGTCTTGGGGCAGGCTGATGAAGATTCTGGTTTGTGGGCTCTTTGCAGGCCTTTTAACTTCCATTAGGCCAAGCCCAAAACCTTCCCTCCTCCCACCAAAAGACAATAAGATTAAGATGTTAGCGAACCAATATTTAAATTTTTATTGAAAAAGATGTTTATATTTAATGCGTGATGATATCTCAAATAGAATTATTTATAATAGAATGATACATGTATTTAGGGGGAAAAAAAAGAATGAGATGCTCCAATATCATCAAGGCTTGGTCTCATTGGATCAACCTTTTGACAACTTTTTTTTTGGTTAAAGTATAAGTATCCTCCTATTAAAAGTAATCCTATTCGAGACAGTGTCGGGCATTAAATATGGACACCTCTCTCTGCAAAAATTTGAACATTAGTTTGTCACATCGTGAGAGACTAGTTTTTTTACAGCTTAATATAAAGAAAAAAAACATGTGCATCATCACAAATTAATGGGCCAAAATTGCCCAAAAAATGAATAAACGGAGGAACAAGCGAGTGTGTGTTCGATAACCCATATTTTAAAGGCACAATTATATATAAAAAATATATATTTTAAAGGTACATCAAACCGTCGATTTGATGTGGATGGTGGAGGCTTTTATTGTTTAAGCAAGCAGTGCAAATGTTAGTTAGGCGAAAGATAAATGTTTGCTCTCCAGTGTCTATCAAAACTACAATTTGGGGAATAAATAAACACAGCTGATTTAATCATAAAACCAATCAAATTATAATATACTAATTACACTAATTCACGATCAATTTAAAAATTTGGAAAATGATGGTTCACCCGTTCATTCATTTTTTTCAGTCTAACAAATGCACCTCATTTTCAAAATCATAATCTTAGAGACTCTGTTATCAATCATTAAAAAAATTATGACCTGGCTGTTATTTTACAGGGAGAAAACTCGGCGTCTATTTGGCCAGAGAGAGAAGTCGGTGTTAAGAATTCTTATCGCGGAATCAATCAACAAAGTGAGCGAACTTCTGTTTCGCGCATGTTGGCTTCCTCATCATAAAAACTTGCTGTTTGGACCTCGGAGCTTCATATTTCAGGAGATAGTACTGATACATAAATATACACACACACACATATATATGTATGTATGTATTAAGGGGAAAAAACTGCTTTGTTAAGGCTGTGTTTGTGAAATTAAAAAGCAAAGCATACTGTTCACTTTGTAATTTGCTGCGTCTGTATGGGCACGGCCGAGCTTCTTTTCCATCTGATGGATGCCATATCCCTTATTTCCGCGTTAGCCTTTTGGGTTTGCCAATCAGAAACCAGCAACTGCCCACGCTCCTCTCTCTCCTGCATCATTATATCCATCCCGTTACTCAATCATCATTAGCTGTTCATAACTACAATTAATTTTGTTAAATGTTAATCGCCTTCACATATCACTCTGCAGCTCCCAAAGTCTTTTCTCTCAACAACTCTCCTTCCTTTCTCTACCAACCACTTTAAACTGACCCTCTCTTTATCCACCCTCACCAATTCACTGTGCCATTAGACTTTGAGGCACAAGTAGTCCGAGGGGAAAAGACCACTCTCTGTGAACAGTTCGGAATCTCTCATGAATTTAAGAATCCATACGCAAAATTTCCATCCTCGTAAGCACTCATGTTTCCTTTTTTTTCTTTTGATCTAAAGTCCCCCCACGATTAGTAACTTTCTGAAATTTAAAAACTAGATGACTACATCATTAATGGACGAAGAATGAAAAGGATTCTCAGAATTACTTCCTCAGTTAAAAGATGGCTTTAGGCCAGTAAATGTTTCACAAGACATTAGCTTTCTGTTATAAGAAAGCTTTTTAATGATCATTTCTGAATCACCCGATAGAAAACAATGGAGTTTTTTTTCAATGGGTCCGAAATTACCTGCTGCTGTTTCTGCTGCTGCCGCTGCTACTGCTGCCTGAGCTTTTAGTGCTTCCGCTGTTGATACTGGTTGCGCCACTTTCACTATCCCCGGAAGCTGCTGAAGGGCTCTTCTTCCACCACTCCTTATCCACAATACCTTTCAAAGATCCTTCAGATATCGATGGTCTCAGAGTCGCCTTTGAACCTTCGTTTCCCGATGACTCGCTCTTCTTCTTCTTCTTCTTCGTCGTCGATCCCAGAGATGGAGGAAACATCATCATCTTCAAATAGAACCCTCCACTCTGAATCTTTCCACTTCTCATCGCCGCCGCCTTCTGATCAACCTTTCTACCACTGCTACTCCCACTTCCTTCCCTCCTGTAGGCGTTTTTGTTGATTAAATTCTTCTCTTCTTTCTCATTTTCTTCACCGGCTTGAAGCGTGGGCTTCTCCACCAGATCTTTCAGGGTGAGCTCGTAGGTTGACTCGGGCATATTCCGAACCATTTCCATGAGCTCCCTTTGGCCTCTGGCAATGGCTTGTGTTCTTGACGAAGGCGACAGGCTTTGATAGTAGTTTTTGTCAAATTGTGGGCTTCTGGTTGGGCTCGTCTTCCACAAAGGCGGCGAACAAATACCAGAGTCGTTGTCGTCGTCATCCACTTGTTTTGAAGCCCAGAAACCAGAGCTCCTTCTATCTTCCCATCTGCCATAACCATGGATACTACTTCCGGTTCTGTTCGGTGACTGACTAGAATTTGCGGGTTGATGTCTTGCTGGATCAAGCATGGCTGTTTCTGTTTTTTCTCCCGGAAATTTTGGACCAGAGAAAGAATAAAAATAAAAAGTGTGTTGTGCGTGCTTCTGTCTAGAAACCAGAGGAGGAGAGTAATAAAACGAATATCTTCACCGGCGTAAGCCTTAAAAGTGATCAATACTGATAATTTCTTGTTAACTAAGATTTTAATAAGCAAATGATTGAGGTCGAGGATATGAGGCTCCTAAAAGTCAAGGAATTCTAGACGGTGGCTGTTAGCCCTGTATTTCTTTTTTCCCCTTTCCTGGTCCTTCAACGTTTCCTGTCTTCAAGTTCAAAATATTTCCACCTCAAATGTTCACACTTGGACATAAATATATTTCATATATTTGTTGAAGCCTTATAAGAATCAAAAGGTTCAGATAATGGAGAGGGGCACCAGGAATGATTAGAAGGGCATCAAAAGCCCCACGTCAGGTGCCGCACCAAGTGGCGAGAAGTGGATCATAAAGCCATCATTCTCGTCTTTGCCTTTCATTTATTATCATTGTGTTGATCATGACTAATCATATTGGATGTCCCCCCAAGCAACCAGCACATCCCATGATACTGATGTGGTTGTTGGGAATTACTAATTTAATACAAAATGAGTGTTTTTTCAATCCTCAATTTTGAGCTGTAGAGTAACCAAGAAGCTCTAAAGCCTATACAAAGTGGCACACTGATCCATAGGGGTAGTTTTGGTTGGTAAATGTGAAAATCAGTCTCTCGCAGTCCCAGTTAATTGTGCTCCAATCCTTGACAAACTTTGGCCTTAAAATACAAAATCAAACGACGCGTTTGAGGGTCCTTTGCTTCTAAAAAAACACCATTTGGGTGCTTCTCAATGGATCTTGAAGTCAGCTTTAAGTTTTGCATTCTTAAATAAATGACTAACAGCATTAGTTAAGGTGCTGTCATCGGCGTAATATTTTGAGGGAGGCGGCCGGATTATTGAGCAACAAATATTGTGAAACAGAGCATACTTTATAAGATCTGTGCCTCTCCGAGCAACTGCTGTACGCATAATGAAAAGTAGAATGAAAAAGAGTAGGAGTGAGAGAAGAGCCAAAGAGGGAAGGCAGAAGGCACTAATTAATTAATAGCGGTAATTAGTTGAGTGGGGTTCCATTACTACTCGTGATGCTTTGATTTTCCACCTCAGCAGTACCCATCAAATCACGTTGATTCTGTCCTACTCAACATCCCCGTCAAAATCAAACGCTCTTGATACGTTAGGCACTTGTACTCATAGTTATAGCCATCTACTTTTGTGGTTATGCTTGGTGCTTGATTCATGTAATACTCTAACGAGTAACTGCACTGTGCTGAGGATTGAAATGCAAGTTTTGTTTTGTTTTGCAAATTTCCTCCTTGCTTTCTAGAAGGGGGTAGCGTGAACATTCCAACCAGACTTCTTAATGGAACCGGAAAGAGAAGATCTTTAACACGCTTGCTTTGGCAAGTCATGGAAAACAAATTGCTGTCCACAAATATGATACCCAACAAACAGTTGTAGAAAGTCATGCACGGCCTCGATGCTTTAAACCCCAAGTGCACAAAGTCAGCGTTGTCTTCAAAATTTCTCACGTCAGATTAAGAAAATTATACTGCCCACGCGTTGCACAATTATGCCCCTCACGCATACCTCCAACCGCTGCTTTGTCTGCATCTCATTTCTCATCATAAATGCCGGGAACGACATTTGTTGCTTCCCCTTACAAAACTAGATTTGTTAGCTTGATTATTTTTTTCCCCGCTTTAATTTTATTCTTCATTTTATTTTTTAAGTGCATATAAAATTGCATAAAAAAATCATTAGTAAAATTACACCACTAAAAAATTAGGTGATAGGTGCATCTGAGAAATAAGGTCATATATAAAATTACACTTTTAATCTTCTTTAAAATAAAGAATAATATTTTTCCAGCTTAACTTTGGGTTATGGTGTCAGTTTCTTTATTCTTAATTTAATCAATTTCCGTGAGATCTCAGCATCGGTAAGATTAAGATATATTATATTCAGCTAACATTCATTAACAAAAATTTTATTAAAAAATTAATAAAAATATTTATTAACATCAGTATCATCTTTCGCCGACTACCTATACCAATACATAAAAGAGTGGGACTCTGGACTCACTTAGTTGTGCAAATATTAAATAAGATAGCAATCAAACAAATATTAAATAAGATAGCAATCAAACAAATATTAAATAAGATATTTATTCACAAAAAAATAAATAAGATATTTCACTTCTTCTATTTAATTTACCGAGCCCATCAGATTTTTCTTGTCAATTTCTACTTTTAAAATCTTATACAGTAAATATCATTAAAAACAAAATATTTTACTTCAAATAAATTTTGGAAAATAATATTGTGTTCCCTCGCCGCACCTAGAAGCGCCCGGATTAAGATTAACCACCTACTGTCTATTCCCGCTTGCGGACGCGACGATGACAGTGGGAACGGTGCCCACAAACACTGATCTGCTACAGAATACGATCTATCTTCCTAGTATTCGAAACCTATGAGCAACGGAGTTGCAACAATAGAAATTCCAGGAATGTCCCTTCAAGAATGTAATGCATTATGTTTTATCTGAAGTTCGGCGTTTAATCGCCTTCCGTCTCATAGCATATGCATGTACTCATATTTAAAGCAAGGACAAAGTCCTCAAAATTCAGTCTCTTGGTTTTCTGCTCTTTTAGACTATGCTTATCCGACAAGTCTCTAAAATTGAACAAAGTTATCCATGCCCAGCTGATAAAATTGGGTTTCAATGTCTACACCTATTTGGGTAATCGCTGTCTCGATCTATACTCCGAGTTTGGTGGGGTAAGTGATGTCTTGAAAACGTTTGGTGATATTAGTTATAAGAACTCTACATCCTGGAATGTCTGCTTAAAAGGGTTGCTTCGAAGTGGTCATCTTGAGAAGGCCAGGCGTTTGTTTGATGAAATGCCTGTGAGAGATGTGGTCAGTTGGAACACGATGATTTCAGGTTATTCTTCTTATGGGTTTGGTGATCAAGCTTTTCAAATTTTCCTTGAAATGCAAAATATTGGCACGAGGCCAAGTGTATTCACTTACACTATCATGGTGTCACTTGTGTCAAGTCCCTGTCAGGGTAAGCAAATTCATGGAAGGTTGATCAGAAGTGGGATGAATTTCTCAAATTTGGTACTTGGGAATTCTTTAATAAATATGTACGGGAATTTTGGTCTTGTTGATTATTCTTTTGGTGTGATTTCGACCATGAAGCAGTTGGATATTATATCTTGGAATTCTTTGATCTGGGCCTGCCATAATGCAGGACATCAAGAACTGGCATTAGAGCAGTTCCATCGTATGAGAAGCAAAGAGTTGTTCCCTGACGAGTTTACGTCTTCAATACTGATTAGTGTGTGTTCTAACCTGCAAGATTTAGAACAGGGTAAGCAAATTTTTGCTTTCTGTTTCAAGGTGGGATTCGTTTGTAATAGCATTGTATCAAGTGCAGCTATTGACCTCCTTTCCAAATACAACAGATTGGAGGATTCCGTACAGCTTTTTAGAGAACAATATCAATGGGACCCAGCTCTATGCAGTTCCATGATTTCAAGCTATGCTAGACATGGTTTAGGAGAAGAGGCATTAGGACTTTTTGTGCTGACCTTGAGGAAGGATCTTCGGCCTACTGAATACATGGTTAGTTGTCTTCTGAGTTGTCTTTCCAGTATGTTACAAGTAGAACTGGGCAATCAAATCCATTCTTTGGTTCTGAAATTAGGTTTTGAGTCAGATGCAATAGTTTCCAATTCACTTGTTGAAATGTATGCAAAATTGGGATTTATTTATGATGCCTTGGATATCTTCAATGAAATAAGAAGAAGAGATTTGATATCCTGGAACACCATATTGATGGGTCTAACCTACAATGGTAAAGTGTCTTTGGCTATGGACCTTTTCAACGAATTAATTAGCGAAGGTATACCCCCAGATCGAATAACTCTAGCTGCAATCTTACTTGCATGCAACTATGGAAGTTTGGTTGATGAAGGAATTCAAATATTATGCTCCATGGAGAAGGAATTTGGGGTTAAACCAGGGGAACAACATTATGCTATTGCGGTGGAGTTGTTGTGTCGTGCTGGTAGGCTGAAGGAGGCTATTGATATTATTGAAACAATGCCATACAGAACTGCTCTTATTTGGAAGTCAATCCTCTCTACATGCACAATACATGAAGACCTGGTATTTACTGAAAGGGTAGCAAAGAAAATAATGGAGATGGAACCACAATCATCCTTACCTTACTTGGTCTTGGCTCAGGTATATCAAATGAGGGGCAAGTGGGAGAGCATGGTTCGAGTGAGAAAGGCAGTGGAACATAAAGGCGCCAAGGAGTTCGCAGGATGCAGTTTTATTGGGATAAAAAATCACGTGTTCTCTTTTGAGGCAAATAAATTACATCAGTATGGAGGGAAAGATCTTTATCTTGTATTAGAGTTACTGCAGTGGGAGATGGAAACTGAAGGTTATGCCTGAAAAATGTTTTGATAAAAGAAAGTAAAAGTTGTTGCTATCCGCGATGAATATTGATGGTGGGCTGGAAAAGAGTGATCACCTGAGATTGTTTGTTGCTCGGTAATGGTTGAGACAGAGAAGTTATAATATGCGTGGCTGGTGCAGTTAGATAAAATCCCTTCACATTATGATCTCAGGACGTCATTTACTGGTATCTAGACCGAAAAATCAAGCGTTGAAGCTATACGCTATACAGGATACATGGTTTACTGCTCTTAAATTCAGTAAAAGATTTTCTAAATTAGGCCAATCTTTGATTAGTCTAGTGCCTGTGACTTGCGAGTTCTGCACTGGCAACCTGGTTACTGGGAAAGTGGAGAACCTTAACAAAAGCCGGCCTTCTCAATCAAAAGCTCGTCATCCATTACATGTGCTTCATTTATAGTGCCATTTGCTGAATGTGGCGATACACCTCGGGCATTACTGGGTTGCAAATCATCTACATTTTGCTCCTCAGATCACGAAACCGCCTAAGCTAAGGCACAGTTTGACATCAAATCAGCGCGCACAAAGACGAGGACAGTCAAGTAGCCATATTAATTTCTTCATTAAGTCTGTCTTTTACAGGCTTTTTTATTTTTTACTTTTTGCAATCATTACTTGGGGTTGAAAATGGCTAGCCAGAGAGTTCATTATTAAGCTCTATCGGGCTTACGTGTCATTGAGGACAAACAAAACAGATTTGAAAATCTATGATCGATCTCGATGCTTATGTAATAGTTTTAATACCCTCTTCAGGGGACACTAAGATTGTTTACCGTTCAGTTTGGTGCTGAGTTCGAAAGGAAGAACGAGCCGTTGTGCCGTTTCAGAACACGTGGTCATTCTATTCGTCAATGGTCATGCTGCTAAAGAAAATGGAGAGTGAACTAAATCTCTGTTAGAGTCGTTTCTTTTTCGTGCCAACTCACCAACCGGATGGTTTGTTCTGGTCGCGCGTGTTGCGAATGGACAGATTTTGGATTCAATTGTAATGGTCTAGGACGCTTGAAATCTAAAGTCTTTAGCGTGACTTAAACTTGTCATAGCATATTTTTTAGGTTTTTCTTCCTCTGCCTACTCATATTTTGCCCATACATAAATATTATATATTAACTTTATTTAAATATTATATCTCAATGATAATTCAATACATTATGTACTTGTTTAGAGTTGCTTACTATAAGCATATTTGTGTAAATTGAGATCAAACTTTTCTTACATTCTTACATTATATTTTGTAAGTTATAATTGAAAAGTTATTTTAAAACTCCAAATGACCAATTGCAATTTCAAACTAGTCGTAATTTTATTTTCAAACGACAATCTTTTTACTCTGTAATAGAAGTTTTGACATACTTCTCAAATTTAGAAAACACATTATATGTGTACGCGCTAATGGTGGCTAACTTATCAATTGATTTGATTTGATTTTCGGCTTTTTTTTAATTACATAAATATTAAAATCTTGCCACGTCCGTAAAGTATAACGGTAGGAATAATGTGTGTCATGGATATTCCCAACATGTCCTATCAGAATTTAGGGTGTCAATTCCATTAAATTACGTAAATATTTCAAGATTCGGTTGAACCTATTCCCCTTTTTTTTTTTGGGCTATATTTTTTTAATACATTTTCTTGATGAAAATTCAGTTCAGACTTCAGCGGCTGTGTGGCATTTTAGACGGCATCACAGAAACAGAGAGGCGTGAATGGGAGCTTGCGCGGGAGTAACGGTTAATTGAAAATGATTAGTTTTAGTGTTGACAATTGGAAAATAAGAGAATCTAGGATCTCAGGAGGCATGTCAGGTCTCGAAACCATCTTCGTCGTCAAGTTCCCCATACTCTTCCTATTATCACTGTTGAAGACGGCAAATCTCCCGCCATTTTTTTTTTTTTCCTTTTAGAGAATATCCCACAGAATATTATTCTTGTATTGGTCGAACCTTTGTCGTCGGTATAGGAATTCGGATAAGGGAAGAGGAAGCTTCTTTGCAATTCCACAACACCTTAACTGTGATCAAAACTACAAGCTTCAGACTTGGTCCTCTCATCAAAGGCGTGAAACTAAAATAATTTGGAGCAAAAACATGTTTTTTCTTTGAAGACTCATTTGTTGGTTCTCTCAATGGATAGCCCTCCTCCAACGTCTCATGTCATCCTCGCATGTGATGCTACTAAAGATAGCAGTGAGCATGAGATCAAGTCCATTCTTGATCACGTACGAAGTAGCAGTGGCATTCTATATGCAGGTTACAAATTGTTAGTGCTCGGCGTCTTGCATAAAGTGCCACACCCCAGTAAGTAATACACGAATTGTGCCAATGGATATCCTTGAGGGTACTACCGATGCCGTTGCAATCTTTTAATTCTGCTCGGTCCCTTTTTTTGCCCCATCTTGGCTGACAACTTTTATTTCACATGCACACTAATTACTGCCCTGCCAAAAGAATTTGTAATGTTTATACCGGATTGTATAGATAAGATGTTTCAGCATTTTGATTCTGTGCTATGACGAGTTGAAGACTCTATATGTGTGTTGCATTTTCTAGAAATTTATCAAGATTCCATGGTTATCTGATTGGTTCTGATAAAGCAAAATTTTATTATGTAAGGATAAGTTTTGATACTTATGACTGCGACTTGACATTAAGATTTTATTCTATCATTATTAACAACAAACCATCATGATTTTTTTTTCTCGCTTGTTTTCTTTTTACAGTTTATGATCTTTGTGAGTATAAGTACTGAAGAAAGGTCACTTGCATAATTTTTTCTTTAGCTTGTGGTCCACTAACCATGTCACTCTTCTGTTGCCTTTTTTGGGATTAACAGTGGGGTACCAGACATTACCATGCCCTGAGTCTTTTGGTGGCACGAATTTTCGTGCAATGGATGAAGTGGTTGGCAAGAAACTTGATTCATATGCAAATATGCTTTTGCCGATGTATGAAGATTGGGAAAATGCAGGGGTACTAAACTTTAATGTGTTATTTTCCTCATAATTACTGCATGTTTAATTACATTCTTATGTTAGAATCTAAGTTTGTTTCTTTATTCTTTTAAACTTATCCCCAGATCAGCATCGAAGTCAAAGTCACTGCAGGTTTTCCGATCAGACAGGTTATATTGCAGGAGGTTGCATGCTATAATGCAGCTTGGATTGTACTTGATAGGTATTACTTTCTCTACACTCGAAAATGACATTTATACTTTGCCAGATGAGATCTATGATTGACTACAGAGGACATTGCCTCTTTCTTTTGGAGAATGTTTATGGTTTCTGAAATTGCTTGTTAATTGTGTTTAGGCATAACGTGGCAGCGGGCATATTTAGCAGTCACCAATTGCTCTGTGAGAAAACTAATGCCTTTTCCGTTATGGAAACTCCACAGAAATGACCTTGATGGCAATCCTTACAAAGAATGCACATCAACACTTAATTAAGCTATCGTATAATTTTGTAGACAAAACGAAACGGCGAAAATTATTGGTTTCTGTTATAGTCTTCAGTAGTCAGTTATATGGAAGCTGTTCCCTGCGGAGCTTCATAACACCTTTTTCCTTTAATATTTCTAAAATTCTTTGTTCAATATGTTAGTTCCCAGAGAAGATGATTTTGTACAAGCCTGAAATCGCATCCATCTCTTCCAAAACCGTGGAAATAGATAAATTCTGGCTCATAACATCATCTTTATCAAAAACTACAGTAACAAGCCTCAATCTCACATTTGTGGGGTGAGCTGGATGGACTCTGAATAATCATGTAAAGCTATCCCTAAGAATACTCTGTTGTTCTGGTTGTTTTCTTGTACTGATTACAGGTGTAACTGGAAAATTGAAACAGGCACCTTCGACGGGACTCGAGATTCCTTAACAAGATACCATGCAAAGTTGCATTGATTAAAGATGACTTGTTTGTGGAAATCTGGAGATCTCATCAATCACTTGAAACAGATGTCACAGAAAACAAGCTTGCTTATTCTTTGTCTAAATTTGTTTCTCTATCGGATTGTCAAAGTGTTGCAGACATCGGGCATTCTGTTTCCTCTTTCAAAAGCTGTCCCTCATCCATGGTTTCTTCTGACAACACAGGGACAGTTAGCAATGGTACAAAGCACTCATTTGCATCACGTGAACAATTCTTCTCATCAGATCCTGGGTCATCTGCTAAATCAGGTTTGGAGCCTGTCTAACATTTTTTATCTTGTCATATCATTTATATGCTTTCTGTGCATAAGCATTTCTTGCAGCAGTACCATCTACGATTCACTATGTTGGCAACTGAACCTTTATTACAGACTTTTCTGAGATGATTGAGCTCATAATACAAAATGACCTTCCTGTTCTTTCTTCTTTGAGCCACTACTTAAAACTATACAAGACAAAATGATCGAACTTCAGATTGAGATGAATAACAATCCAATTGTTTGCCAGGTCCCCTTACTTCTCAGATTGTCCAAAAGCAAAACAAATATGGCTTTATATCAAAACCTTCAGATGCACCAATTCTTTGTGCTGGCTGTGGGATGAGGACTGAATTATATACTAAGGAGTCGACGAGGTTCAGCTATTCTGATATACAGGTTGCAACAAATGATTTTTCAAAGGATAACTTACTGGGTGAAGGTGGTTATGGTCACGTATACAAGGGTACTCTCGGAGATGGACAGCAAATTGCTGCAAAGGTAAGAAAAGAAGAAAGTACCCAGGGTTTTTCTGAATTTCATTCTGAGGTTTATGTCTTAAGTTTTGCTCGACACAAGAATATAGTGATGCTGCTGGGGTACTGTTGCAAAGAAAGGCAAAATATTTTGGTATATGAATATATTTGCAACAAGTCGCTTTACTGGCATTTATTTGGTGAGTATGTAGGTGTTTGTTGGCTGTATCATTTGTCTTTCTAACCCTTGCACGACTGTATCTCCACTTGAAGATTTATAACCTGAGAATCAAGAAAACAATTTTGCAGATAAAGATGCGACAGTTCTTGAGTGGCCCCAAAGATATGCTATTGCTATTGGAACTGCAAAAGGATTGCGCTTTCTCCATGAAGAATGCCGTGGGAGCCCCATTATTCATCGAGATATGAGGCCTAGCAATATACTTCTTACTCATGATTTTGTTCCCATGGTAAAATTTTGTTCTCTTTTTCGGTAACTTTTTATTCTATTTTCATCCACTTCTCCAGAAGAATAGATCATCTAGTGTTTATCGTAAAACTTGAATTGCAGCTAGGTGACTTTGGCCTTGCCAAATGGAAGACTGGTAGCGATGAGACTATGCAAACGAGGATAGTGGGCACTTCAGGGTGAGGCCCCCATTTTTTTTAGATAGTCACATTAGTGTAAAGTTCACATTGCCATCAGGTCAAATCATATATTTTTCTATTCCAAGTTCATAAATCAGCAATCATGAACATACTTTTCGTTTATGTAGATACCTTGCTCCTGAGTATGCTGAAGATGGCGTTGTTTCTGTGGGGACAGATGTGTATGCTTATGGCGTTGTTCTGTTACAATTAATCTCAGGACGCAAGGTGGGCATGTCCAGTAATCCTGAACAACCATCTTTCCGTCAATGGGTATGTAAATCTATCATTTATGTCTTCAGATGATCATAATTATAAAATTTATAAGAAGAGGTCACCTGCCAAAAATAGAACTACAGTATATAAGGTGATATATGCCCAAATGGTAAAGGCTGGAAGCAGTTAATTGCAGTTCAGCCTTTTCTAAACATGTGCCACAGTCCTGCTCTTTTCTTACTTTACAAACTAATGACCTTGATGGAATTATAATACGTGGAAATTTCAGGCTGAGTCATTGATTGAGAAGTTGGCTTTACCAGAACTTATTGACCCGCGTCTTGGGGAGTCATATGATACATATGAACTATACCTTATGGCAAAAGCAGCATACTTCTGTGTGCAAAGAAAGCCTGAGATGCGACCATCAATGGCAGAGGTAACTGAAAATTCATTGCTACAGATTTCAATTTTGTATAGTCTCGTGTAGAATCCGTCAATGTGATTTGTCAGTTTCGTAAGATCTCGTGTTTCTCCAGTTGATAAACATTAGAATCTAAAATGACTGAGCGTCTCTATGATTGTATACGCACCTCAATTAAGATGTGTGCATGAAATTCTGGCCAGAGGCACCAAACATTTTGGAAATCTGAAATGATTTTAAGTTGTCATTATTATAGTACTAAACACATTTCTATACCACTTAAAGATAACTGGGACCTTAAGTACATAAACAGAGAATTTTACAGAGAAATAACTGCCATCCTTGGCGTCTCACCAGATACTGCAGTATTTCTATCCAAGTGTCTGCTTTTACTGCTTCCATTTCTCTTTATACGATGTTCCATACCAATGAATAGCTTGTCACTTCAGGTTGTTCGCCTTCTTGAAGGACAAAATGATCACTTCCATGCCTTGGAGGATCAGTTCGTGCCTAATTACTATCAATGAAGAAAAGGTTTGTGTCCAAAGGGGAGGATCAGTTCCACTTCAGGTTGACTTGTAAGGAGCACATTACGATTATATTAATATTTTGTTTCTCGTTTTTACAATCTATTTCGCCTTATCCCAATTTTGGACAAGGGATCGAGTTTACATAGGGCTTGAAACTACAGTTATGCAGAAAGTCCTTGATAATGAATGGAATGATATGTGAACTGTCTCAATTTATTACAATAAATCATTTCGAGCAAATTCTTGTTGCACAAATTATTTATTTATATCATTAATATTTTGAACATAGTTTGTTTAACTTTGAAGAGACCTTACTTTACAGTTTACAGTGATGAGTTATTTGAATTTCAGATGATTTGAATTATCAGAATTTGTTTCAACTTTGAAATGATTCATTTTCTCATACAAGTAGAAATGTTCAGATTCTAACAAATGCATGCTATAAACAAAACTATATATGTGTGTGGGTACCATGTTATAGCAAAATGAAGACTTCATTAAATTTCTTCTACTATGTAAATAATTTCCAAACAGAACAATTCAAAAAATGATGATGATTATTATTACTCTTCTACTGCTTGTGATTATTGCCCGATAAATATTTGTTCATCTTAGCTTATACTCACTGTGAAATTAGACCAAACAACAGTGGTCGCCGTTAGTTGGTGATAGATAGATCAGAGAAGGAATGATTACAATTGCAGAAAATCTATCTGAAGATGGAGACAGAATATGGATTAATGGGTTGAACCATTAAAAGTGCGTGGCAATCTCTTCCCTTTTATCGTGTTCCCCTTTTACCACACAATTAATCAAGTCTTGAAAATGGAAAGAAGAAGATCCCTACACGCAGTTTATTGCGTTTGCTGATACCCAATCAATCAGTACCAATATTTCTATCCAAAAACACAGTTCATGAGGTGACAGGATACACACATACGTACTGTTATCAAGTAAGCTGAAGGGGATTTTATGTGGAACAAACTGAATTTGTGAGATTGGTTGAATGCTGCAAAGTCTTCTCCTCCCAAATGTGGGGAGCAAGAAAGATTGAGATCCTTATCATTGTTTCTTTGGGTTGCTCCTCCACTTTTGCCTTTCCCAACCACTCCAAAACACTGCTTTGTTTTCGCGCTCCAATGACCTTCCTTTTTAATTTCTTGCTATCGTGACTTCTTTTGGTTCTGATCTATTGGTCCCTGTTTTCTACAGTCACAGAATGGTTTCTTTTTTAAGAAATAGCCAGAGGGAGGGCACCAATTAATTACAAATGAGGAAAACTGTTTGGGGGCTTGAATTGTTAATGTTGGGTGGGTTGAAAGGGGCATCCAATAGTTATAAATATGTGATGGAATCTTTTGTGAAAGCAACTCAACCATTAATTCAACGCACATCTCTTTTTGGAGTGACATTGTCTTCATTAGCGAAAGAAAGTGATGTGTGGAAATTGAGCCCCCTTGTTCCGATTATACTAGTTGGATTTGGATTTAATAATCTATAGTATTTAGCAACTTCCAATTGACTTCTGCCATGCGAGTCCTATGAACTGGAGGAGAAAATAACGGTTACGAGTTTGCAAGTAATTGCAATAACTAACACTATTTCCGATCCTAAATATAAGAATTAATTGATTAATTTGAGTAAATTAAAAAAAAAAGTTAAACTAATTATTTATAATAAATAAGTTTGTCTCTCTTAAAGTATCCTTACTAATCAAATTTATTAACTAGAACTACTATTATTAGAAAGAATATCTTAAAAATAAATTAATAAATATAAAAAATAAAGTAAATTAAAATTTTATATTAAAAATCAAAATAAAAATAAATAAGGCCTTATATTAGTGACAGAAGGTAGTATTACCTTCTGTTCTAGATATAAGATTTATTGTTAAGACAGGAGGTAGTCGTAATTTTATAAATTTTCGAAAATAATTAAATCATCATTAATATTTCTTGAAATTATTACTATTTATATTACTGAGGATGTGACACTATGTTCTACTTGCGTTTTGTCACCGTCAGAATTCCTCGGTCTTGACATTTTGCCACCAGACAGAGAGGAGGGCAATATGATCAGTTTGATGACATAGGCATGTCTGGGGAAACGAGGAATTCTGAGGGAGTCTCAATTTCATGTCGACCTCTCAAAAAAAAAAAAATCCATGGAAATAATGGCTCTTTTAGAATTGACAACTATAATGTTATTAATTGTTTGAAGTGTTCATAATTCCTTTAAAAAATCCAGGTGTCATTTCTCCTTAATTATGAAGCGCAAGGCTTTGTCATCCACACATGATCTCCATCTCTTCCCCCGGAATAAATAGATAAGTAATCAAGGAAGAAGAAAGAATATGATACTAGTACTTCTTCATCTAATTATAAGAACTTCTTTATAAACTATATACAAGATCTTATAATCAAAATCTCGAGTAATATTTAATAAGCTGAAAGTGGCAATCTGTGGTTTAAATACTTAGGCTCGAAATAAATAATTGATTAGTATAATATTAAAAGATAAGCACTGATTGCATAGGTCAGGCTCTGGGTGAAATTCCTGGAAATTTAATATGTCCATCAACCTCTATTAGATTCACATTTTCAATTACATTACTACTTGTATTTTATTAAATTTCCTTGTATGCCGGACGAATATAATATCAACATAAAGCGTGACTACTTTTGCCTACATTTATGTGGCGGACAACGTGGAGCAAAATAGTATTACACTATATTCGGTTCCTAATATAAAAGGTTATTTGATTTTTGTTTTAATTTTAAATACAATACTCTGATTAACTTTTTTTTAATTTTTTTATTTTTTAAAAGATAGTCTTTATAATAATAATAATAGTTTTAGCTAATATACTTTATTAATAAAGATATCTTAGAAAAATAATATTTATTTATTATAAATAACTAACTTAACTAATTTTTTTAATCTAGTCAAATTAATTAAATAGTTTTATATTAAAAAAATTGTATCGTATCTCATATTATTGATTAATGATTACTAATATGCTTCTTGGCAAGCAAAAGGGTGAGCCAACAAATATTCTTTTCATAAGATTTATTAAAATATTAAAAATAAAGCAGTATTTTCTAGTTTTCATTATAATTACAATTACAAGGTTAAGATGGGGTAGTGTAAGAATTATTGAAAAATAAAATCAAACATCATGTTTCAAAAACTGAATCCAAACAGGTGCTAGAGATGATGGCCACGCCCACGCGCAGTAGAGTAGGGGCAGAACTCAGGCGGGTGTTTAGTGAGGGACAATGACACGTCAATAACATCAAGGAGCGTGCCGTCCGAGGATACCGTGGTCATTTCAGATCGGAGGCTGGCGTCCAGTGTCCATAGTCCGTACCCGGATGAAGACGACAAGCCCAGGACAGGCCCGCCGCACCTCTTCCCCATGCCCACCCCTACAGCACACGGCGAGAGTGCAAGTCACGCTCTCCGTGGACGCTTGCCCTTTGTTACCGCAATGCCTCACAACCCGCCATCTCATCACGGGGAATGAACCTTCCCTGCTTCCTCGACGCAAAATCCACAACCTCACGCGCCACCTTCTGCCCACTGAAGCCACCTCAACCACACAATGTCTCGGCCGCCGACTCACATTCGTATGTATCAACATAGAATCTATGCATGTTCCCGTAACTAGAATTATCACTCTATTGCATGTTTAGATACATCACTTTCTTTTTTATTTGGGCCCAAGTTTATCTGCAGCACTTGGACGCCATGATGATATTTTTTGAATTTTTTTAATATTACAATTATAATAAAAATTTATAAAAATGAATTTTGTTAAATAATTAAATTATACGACCACTCCCGTGTTCCATTTGGCATTTATTCTTGAGAGAGAAAGGGGGGGAGAGAGAGGTGAGTGGGATTCCAACGTCGAAAGCAGAGCAGAACAGGCTGCTTCTCACAAAGCGCCCTGTTACTTCCTCTGATATTTCCATCTCTCTCAGGGTGTCGTCTATATAAACACGTATCTGAAGTCTGTCTATGCTCTGTTTCCAGGACGTGAGAGATTGATCTGTTGGAATCCTGGAGGAACTTTTCACGGTTGCCTGTTTCGGTTAAGGTACGTCCTTTCTCTCTATCTTCTTAGTGAACTGCGATTGTGTTCTGGTTATTAGGATTAGCCCCGATTCTTCCCTAATCTGAAACTTCTCTTTCAAGCTCCCCTCCTGTGCTTATTTTCACGTCGAGCAAACTCGTCGCTTCCATTAATTCATTTTCCTTTATCCTAATAATCAAACAGTTTCATCCCGCCCATCTTTGTTTTCGTGCCGTTCGAAGAAATTTCTGTTTCGGAGGCCGCGGACCTGGAACCTTTTGCTCAATCCCTCTCTCCCCCCCCCCCTTCTCTGACAGAAGAATAATACATATCACTGTGGCGGAATGAAAACGCCGTCTCCCCTTGAAATCGCGCAGCCATTCACTCCTGGATTGGTTTTCTTGTATTGACATGAGATTTGAAGATTTGCGGTTCGGCTTCAAATCTTCAATCCTTGTTTCTTCTTTGGTCTTTCGGCTATCATGCACCTCCCACCCTACGCTTGCTCTCACATGGTTCTTATTATTAATTAGTTTGCCGTTGACTTGTGTCTATTTGGGCGGAAAGTGATTCCATGTCGAAGCTTGCAATTCTTTTTTTTTTTTTTTTAACACAACAAGTGTGGTTGACAATGTAAAATCTAGTTATCAAAAGATTTTTTTTAAAAAAAATCATTAATCTTAAAGCTATTTAGTACAACTCTCATTTTTTTAATATAAGATCTTATTTGATTTTTATTTTAGTTCTAAATATAAGACTCTAATATATTTTGTCTCTCATATTTATTCATTTTTTTTAAGATAATCTTTTTAATAATAATAGTTCTAGCCAATAAACTTAATTAGTAAGGATATTTTTGCTCAAAAAAAATTAGTAAGGATATTTTAAGAAAAAAATATCTATTTATTACAAATAACTGAATTAATTTATTTTTTTAATCTATTTAAATTAGTTAATTAATTTTTATACCTAAGACACGAAGAATTACTTTGTGTCTTCTGTTTTTGGAAAAATTCACTCTAGTCTCGCGATATGCGGCACGCGCGAGCGGGAGAAATATTTTCTTTATCTTAAGTTAAAATGGAATTTTCATATTATCAGTAACTTAATGAACTCGAATAGTTTTTTTTTTTAAAAATCAAAGTGTAGCTAACTGTTATTATTATTGTCCACAGAATACTGAGCTATCATTATTCCGTAATTATGACGCCATTGCCAATTTAATACCCAAACGCTGATGATTGTGGAATGTTACTTTATTTTCTTTTTCATGATTATTTTTCCTTTAAGAACAATAGGGGAAGATGACCTACAGACTCGTTTTTTTTTTTTTTTTTGCTTTTCTGTTTTCCCAAATTACTACCTCCGGTCCTTAATATAAGACTCTAATCCATTTTGTCTCTCATATTTATCTTTTTTTTTTTCAAAATAGTCCTTTAATAATGACAATTCTAGATAACAAACTTGCTTAGTAAGAATATTTTAGGAAAAACAACACTTATTCATTACAAATAACTAACTTAACTAAGTTTTTTAATCTCTCCAAATTAATCAATTGAGTCTTATAATTAGGACCGGAGGTAGTATATTTTAAGGATCATGTTAGTATTTTACGGATGCCATCGGTCACATGGAAGTCCCTTTGTGGCTTTATGTGATGGTTAGGGCCACCAAGACATGGTCATCTGGGAAATCTCAAAACAAAAGAAAACCACAGAAAGAAAGTGAAAGAAAACAAGTGTTCTGTTTAAATCGGAATAATATCATGATCCATGTCACATTCAGGTCTCTTTTGGTCTCTTTATTTTATTTTATTTTTTCTTTTTTCCCTCCCCGAGATTCTTGCGTCGCGGACCGAGTGTTCGCTGTTTTGTTACAACTTACGGGTGCGCAAGAAAGTTCCATCCTTATATTTCCTATCCAATTGCATCAGACCAAAATGGAATCCAAAAGCATTTCAATGCGGAATTGCCTACTGTTTAACACTACTTCCCTCCGCCCCCTTCTTGTAATTACCAACTAATGTATGCTCAGTTGCCAAAAATATATTAATGCTATAAATAAGGATATAATTCACGTCTGCTCGAATCTGGCTGCCTGTAAGATGTATGTCTAGCCGCTCAGAAGGTACAGTTAGCACCCACCCAGAAAATCAACCATTTTGCGTTTTCTGATCCAAAACATTTCATGTTATGGGATTTTTTAGGGATTTAGTGCCTAGCTCGAAACTCAAAAGTAGATGGTAAGGGAAAAGTTTCCTTTTTTTTTCCCCCTACTACTCTAATAAACTTTAATGGGTTTAGTGTATCCCTTTAAATTTTACGCCGAAAATGTCTCCTTTTAAAGATGATGCCTTGATTCTTTGGGCATTATTTATTCTTCTTTCTCTCTCCCCGCATTTCCTAATCGACTGGACACGGCGCGTTCAATATCTGCCTTATTTCTTAAAATCTCGGTCAAAGATCCTTAGAGGAAGCAGATTCTGCAATGGCACCATAATTTAACTGGTGCTTTAAGCTTAGGCATTGGCCACGTGAATGATTGACACCCGCAACATAAAAAAATTAGAAATTAGAAATAGTACTAAAGTCATATCATATTATGATGTATTTAGTGAAGGAATCTGTGCAACAGTGCAATTACTTGTTTGTTTACTTATTTTGTCTTCTCTGCTGATAATCTGTACCATGGTCTAGTGCAGCAATTTTGTCCACTAAAGTTGTATGAAAAACCTTGGACCAAAAGAAGCAAATGAAAAATTAACATGTTGACTGCAGAAATTGAACTTGCGAATGGCTACAGTTTGCTGGCCATATTTTGATCCTGAGTATGAGAACTTCAGCAGCAGAATCAATCCTCCGAGGTATGCTATTCCTTCCTTTGATATGATGCTTTTTAACTGTGAGCTGCAAAATTAAAAGCCTCTTCGGGATAATATATTAAAGGAAAAGGATCTAAAATCGTACATAGCCTTAATATGCCTTAAAGTAAATCCTTACCGTCAAAGTTCATGGATATTTAGGTATATTTTACAGTGTTAGTTAGCTTTAGTTGAACTTAAACCCTAGCTAGACCCTAAAACCATAGCTATGAGGAAGTGATCATTCACTCAATTCTTAATGAGTCAGAGACTCGGGTTGAGTGCCTTGATGAGGACTTTGGGTTTATATTGGAAATTTTAAAAACCCAAATAGAAGTAACTTGTTGATGGTAAACTATGTTTGCACTTCGCAGGGTCTCTGTGGATAATGCTAGTTGCCATGATTGTACACTGATCAAGGTATAATTTCTCAAAATAACAAGTTACGAATTTTCATGGCTCCCATTGTCAGTCCTGATCTGGCTTCCTGATCTTTTCAGCAACCATAGCATCTTCAGCTTCAAAAGTTACTTGAACACTAAAACCTTTTTTTCCATATCGAATTTAGTATAATCTTACATGAAAAACGAGATTTTACCTACCCTCGGTGAATTCTGTAACCTAAAGAAAGGCTTTGGCCAAATTTAATGTGATCTAAGAATCCTTATTGCCTACATGTTTTTACATAAACTACTACTTAGCTATAGCATCTTCCTTTTCTCTATGAATAAGGCTCATGTAAAAAGAAGTAGGTCTTTGCTTATTAAAAAAATAAAAATAAAAAGTAAATGAATGAATAAGGTTCTGTATAGGTTGGGAAGAGGAGAAAAAAAAAATTACACATTTATACCCTCTCGTTTCTTCACCCGTCTGCCCCTTCATATTGCTTTTATCTCCTGAGACTTTGCACTCGTTTTCCTAGTGTAGACCTGGCCCCAATTCTCACCAAGCAGTTTATAACACCCCTCTGGCTGTAGACGAGGCCCACTCTCACTGGGGCCATCATAGGCGCAGTTTTTAGTCAATAGCATCTTATACATATGTAAATCCTGTTAAATCCTCATCTTGCCGGGGCTATACAAATTTTTTATTCCTTTTCGGTCATGCACAACATGATGCTACCCCCACAACATCATCATGGCTCATATACTCCATATTTCCTGGGGAAAAAAAAAAATCAGTACTGTTGTTATTATTAGATGAAATATGCTGATGGTGTGATATCAGCCTGCTTTATTAATGGATTATTATTTCGAAAAATTGCAGGTTGATAGTGTTAACAAACCTGGAATTCTGCTGGAACTGGTGCAAATTCTAACAGACCTTGACTTCATCATCACTAAGGCTTACATATCTTCAGATGGTGGATGGTTTATGGATGGTATGTTTCTAACTATGATGAAACTTAGTAATGCTTTGACAATGAACACACGGATATACTTTACCCATTCATGTTATTATAATCCGTATTAAAATCAGTAGACTATCGTCCATAACATTGGTTGTTATCAGCATTCTCTTCATTATTATGATACAATTATTGGCTAATTTGAGTTTTTACATGAAATATTTTGTGTCTGCTTTTGCATCTCCGAGCCACAATAATGCAACAATGCAACATGAATTTGACATGAGTTTACAGCCAAGCCAAGCCCCATATCTCCATTCTCTCTCTCATACCCACACATGCATGTACAGTTAAACACCCCCATACTTTCACTCGCATAAAATATCCAACCATGTGCATGTCCATGTGTGCCTGATCACCCCACCTTGATCAAGTGTTTAACATGTTCAATTAATGAAATTAACAGTTTTTCATGTGACGGATCAGCAAGGAAAGAAGATAACCGACATCAAAACCATAGACTTAATAGAAAAGGTATAATTCTTCTTTCTCCTCTATATCTGGTATTTTCTTTCACCAGAATCTGACATCATATCTGTATAACAGCCAAGTAAAGGTTTTCCATTACTGATTCATTTAAAATGCTGAGATAATAGAAAGCTTTCTTGGAGAAATGATACCGTTCGTTTTGTTAGAGAGAAGGGCATCTATTGAGCTAAAACTGCGCATATCAAACACTTAGAGCTAATGAACCGTTTTCTTTTCTTTTATTTTTTCCCCATCATACAATAGGCTCTAGGACCCAAGAGCCAGAGCACGGAAGGGGTAAAGAGTTGGCCTGCCAAACGGGTTGGGGTGCACTCCATTGGTGATCACACAGCTATTGAGCTCATAGGCAGAGACCGCCCAGGTCTTTTGTCTGAGATCTCAGCTGTCCTTGCCAATCTCCAATTTAATGTGATTGCAGCTGAAGTTTGGACTCATAATATACGTATAGCATGTGTTCTTTATGTCAACGATGCTGCCCCCATGGCCGTTGATAACTCAAACAGATTATCTCTTATGGAGGAGCAGCTCAAACACATTTTACGTGGATGTGAGGATGATGAGAAAGTGGCTCACACCAGATTCTCTATGGGTTTCACCCATATGGATAGGAGACTCCACCAAATGTTGTTTGCTGATCGGGACTATGAATGTACTGGAGTAACAGCTGAGATGGATTATCCTCCTTGTTTTAGGCCGAAAATAATGATAGAACGTTGTGAGGAAAAAGGGTATTCAGTGGTTAGTGTCAGGTGTAAAGATCGGGCAAAACTGATGTTTGACATTGTCTGCACTCTTACTGACATGCAATATGTTGTTTTTCATGCCACAATTTCATCTGATGGCCCTTACGCATCCCAGGTATGCCGTATCGTCTTATTTACAGCACTCCATTCTGGGAGATAGCACTTTGCCATCAAATTTTGCCTGTTTTGAAAATTTTCTGAAAAGCAGAGGAAATTTAAAATTGTCTCTAGAGGATTTCCTCTTCAGACTTAAAATAGACCTTAGAATATAAATCATTCTTCTTTAGATGAAACTAATGTCTTGATCCTTGAAAGCCTCATGATTTCTCAACTCCCTTGCATTAGTTTTCTTAACTGAATTATTGTTGTATTTGCTTCATGCACCTGATCCTTATACAACAACAATTGTGAAGCATCATTTAAGGTGTTCATAGAACAAGAGATTTTTCATTTTTATGTTGCTGTCCGAAGTCTGAACTGTGTGCGCACATTAGGAGTACTTCATTCGGCACATGGATGGATGTACGCTTGATACTGAAGCGGAGAAGGAAAGGGTCATTAAATGCATTGAGGCTGCTATTCAAAGAAGAGTAAGCGAGGTATTGCGTTTAAAATTGATTTCTATGTTCTTCTGTGATCCTTTCAAAAAGAGAAGTCGGGGATGAAACGAGCTCTTGAGTAAGTCTCACCATACTAATGATAAGCAATTTCCTAAACTGTCTAAGCCACTGATTTCTGTTATCCCCTTGGCATGAATGTTCCCCTGGTCCCTGGACTTTCTTTTGACTCCATCTTTTCTTGTTTCAGCCAGTTTTCTTTTCCTATCTCTTCCTTAGGGATGTTTTTTTGTCTTCTACTTACAGCAGCAAGCTTTCTGAGTTTAACCGAATTAATGCATTTTGGATCTGCAGCTATCTACTTGTATTGTTGCAATGGTACGGCAGATACATGGGGCTAGGTTTCCACTCAGATTGTATCTGACCATCATATCCACTAATCAGTGGCAGTGGTCTTTTGCCTTCAATAGAGCTTAAGAATCTATATGCTCCATGTAATATCATCCACATCCCTATAATCTTAAAATAGAAAAAATGCAAATGAAAGGAAGCTTCTTCTGTAATTTGCGAGTGATAAACTGATCAGTTTGATTATCAGTCATATCGTATGCTGGCTCAGCAGATTAAATTAAGTCTACTTCATTTGGTTCTTGAAGAAACACAAAAGATTTTAGCACTGATTCGGTGATTTATGGACGCAGGGTGTGAGCCTTGAGCTGTGCGCAAAGGATAGAGTGGGGTTGCTATCTGAAGTAACTAGGATTCTCCGAGAGAATGGCTTGACGGTTTGTAGGGCAGCTGTATCCACCATTGGAGAGCAAGCACTGAATGTGTTCTACGTGAGAGATGCTTCTGGAAATCCAGTGGACATGAAGATTGTTGAAGCACTTCGCAAAGAGATGGGGCAGACCACGATGGTGAAGTTGAAGAGAGTACCAACCAACGCCGAGGCGCCTGAGCCCCGAGGGTGGGCCAAAACAGGTTTCTTCTTTGGGAACCTGCTGGAAAGATTCTTGTCGTGAACAATTGCGTTCCCTATTTTTGGGAAGGAGGCACATCATTATATATATAAGAATAAATCTGATGTGTACTGTCCTTTGCCACTTTCTGTCAGACCTATGCTCTGTAACTTAACCTTCCTCCAAAGTCCAAACCTTGCCCGCCTTTCATTTATTACTGTTTCTTCGTTTACCTCATAACCCCTTCTTTTAACATCTTACGCGTCAACGAAAAGATAATCAAGAAAAATAACGCCCACAGGTATTAAACCACCTGATGCGCGCTCGTGTCTTGCCTTGCGACCACACATTATATAGTAGGTGGCATTAAATATTATGAACGCCTATATGAAACAGACGTACAATCACCATCCGGCGTTAAAAATAACAGAAGAGTTGTGATAAGAAGCAAAGTTGAGCCGAAAAATTGCATTGGTGAATGCAAGGCGATGATATAAGATACAAAGATAAATAAGAAACTTGGGAAGTTCCTTGAATTAAGGGATTTCCGCAAACAAGAGTTAAAAAAAAAATGAAGAAAATTGTGCAAAACAAAATGTGCAAGCAACATAATACGTTACTTGTTTTAGGTTTAATGATTATTATATGCTTTTTAAACATATTATTATATGTTAATCGAATACGTTAGAGGTCACGACTGGATAATACTGGATTGAAACGCAAGACAGTACAGGTAATGGGCGGAAACACCAAGCAAATGAATTTGACTCGAGAACGGATTTCCTTTTCTGGGGAAAAAAATCCCACAGCAAATAAATTCGTTTTACGTAGTTTATAGTGCTTGGTGATTTTTAACTAAATATCTCGAACTTGATAGAATTGGAGCCGAAAGGACAAATGTTTGAAAAATTACTGGCTCCATTGCTCCGAACAACGACGACTTGAAGGCGATCTTTTTGTCTGCTGTTTCAATAAATAATTGGGATGAGCCACAGTCACAGTCGTCCCCAGCTGGTTCTTGTCAAGTAGCAACCAAATTGACCCGAAAAGCTTCATGGCCACAATAAACCAGATAAAACTGAGAACTGCATTTTTCTTTGTTTGCCTCCGCTTCACGAAGTTGCATATTTGGCTACTAGGGAAAACTACAAAATCTGATAAACATAAAAGGTTAAGAAGTCTGAGCTGGATGAATGTCAGCAGAAGAAGAGGACGGGAGGCATTTTTTGTGCGTTCTTTATGGATAAAATTCTCTGATAAGTGATAACACACATATAGTGTGTGTGTGTTGGACAAAAAGTTATAACACAACTAGTGCCACGTTCACATCACACCTCAGCTTATACTGTTTTGATCTTATTTATAAAGCAGAGATAAGATATTTTTTAGTTTTAAATTTTTTTTAAATGGATGTACAATTTTAGCTTTCTTTTATTATTATGTTAATTTTATTTACATGAAGTATAACGTATATTAAATAGGAAAAAAATTGATAAGTTATTGAATTTTAAATGAAAGTTAACAAAGTTTAACATTTTTCTTAATTTGTATGAAACATATTGAAAGGGATTTATAAATAGGATAAGAAAAGTATGCATAGATTTTATCAATTCAACCCCGCCATCAGTGGGATGCTTTTTTTGAGATTTCATATCTATTAAAATAAAAATAATTAAAAATATAAAAAATAAATAATAGTATTAAATTTATAGCATTCATTATTAATGTGAACATTTTTTGTTTTGGTTTGCCAATATTAATGTGAACAATCTTAGACATTGAAAGTTTGAAACTCTAACCAAATTAATGAAAACACTGCAAGGCAGGGAGTTTGATTTGATAAATGAACGCTTGAAGAAGGCAAAAAAAGGTTTAGCATTCAATTAAATTTATTTCTGTTCGTAAAAGCTTAATATTTTTCAGATATACTCACTCATTCTTATATTTATAAAATACTTTGAATATATTTCACACAAGCTAAAAAAATTTTAAACGGTATGAACTCTTTCTCAAAATATAATAATTTTTTAAATTTTATTTATATTTAACATATATATTTTTCAAAAAATAATTATACATTATAATAAATAAAAAATAAAATAATATATTCATACTAAAAATTTATTTTAATTTAAAAAAATTTCTGTCCCATAAATATAATGCATGGTTTGAAAACTTGGACCGGACGGCCGGTTCAGGCCGGGAACCGGTGAACCGGACACTTGTCCGGTCCGGTTCATGATCTAAACCAGCACTGTTCCGAACCGGTATGAAACCGGTTAAACGGTAAGAACCGGTTGTGACCCGGATAACCCGTTGGGTTGAATGGGTAACCCGGGTCACTTTTAAATGTCCAGAAAGATGCGAGGACTCCGACAATAAAACAAGTTTCCAGGTGAAAAAAAAAAAGAAATGAGAAGAAGAAGAAGAGAAAAAAATATAGCAGATGAAAGAAACAAGAAATGAAGTATGTGTAGCTGGTGTTTAAGAGAGCCGGTAGAGGTGAGAGGCATCGTCGGCAATGACAGCGGTGCTGGAACTGAGGAATGTCAGTTGTTGGGGCCAATATCTGGGTGAGAATGACTAGGGGAGGCTAGGATGAAGGAGTTCATAATCACAGGAATTTGAGGGAGAAGACGGAGGTAATAACCGGTAGAGGTGAAGGTGATAGATAAGTAGATAACATTTGGCGAGATTCGACTTTTGAGCGTGCTGGGGTGAGATTTAAGATCTGACTTCTTTTTTCCTGGAAGAGTGTGCTTAAGGAAGAAAAAAAGAAGGACATTGAGAATCTCAAGAAAAAAATAGCATTAATTTTACAACAGCCTATAACACTAGATTTACAGTACCACTTCGTCCTTTCTTTTCATTTTTGAAAATTTGGATATGACTTCTTTTAGGTTTGACACACTTTATATTGATTATATATAATAATGTATACGATAAAAAGAAAAGCAGGGACGTCTGGGAAAAAAAGAGAAGATAAGGAACGTGAAATTTCCATTTTTTATGATAACATATGCTTTGTATATGTTTTTTAATATGATATTATAAATATCATATTTATTAAAATATATTTTATAATTAAATATAAATATTTTTTATAGATTTTATTTATATTATATTTTTTAATTAATTCCGGTTTGATTTCGGTTCAACTCCGATCTGACCCACTAACTCCTTGACCCACTATATTAACCGGTTCAATAACCGGTCCGGTTTTTAATATCTTGATATAATGAGATGGGAAGTACACAAATATTTATCACACAGGTAACGACACCAGCTCAACAAAGCATTGATGATTTAGTCGTGTCAGATGTTTGATGATGATAGGAACAAGGCGTGAAGTGACATTTTTCCCGTTATCCGTTTCGCAGTCTTTAAATACGAAAACTGATTATTGATTAATCCCGGATTTATTACTTGATTAATAACATTAATTGCCTGAAATATATATAAAAAATAAATAATTAATAGAGCCCTCATTGCGGGGCTGTGAAACCGCTCCGAGGTCGGTTTCGGATCTAAAGAATAGAAACTTCTACACAGTTCTTTGGTCATCACCAGTCACGACCTTTATTCTCGTCCCTTCCCTTCCATCCACTCCAATTTCTTCTCTCTCTCCAGATGTTCTTCTTCCACAGTTACGCCGGTTCCGTTTTCCTTTGTTGTTCAAAAATTATTTTTACGTTTATGCCCCCATATTTAGCTTAAAATTAATAAATTAATTCAAATATTTTAAAATCAATTTTTTTTCTCATTGCCCGTTTTTCTTGTTAATTTTCTTTCTGTTTGTGAAGAGTTACTCACGAGAACCAAATTGTAAGCTTAAAACAAAAGATCTTTTATGACAAATTTTTAGTATCCAAGAATTTTAAATTTATTATGAAAAGCCTCTCTTATAAATGATAGACAACAACTTGTAAATTAAAGAGGTTTTTTTTAATTTGTACAAAATCACTTGTAACTATTTCTCATAAAAGAAATAAATTTTTTTCCCCTCTTTAAAAGCCCAGGGGGATTTTGATCCGTTGGCCGGGGGGGGGTTGATCATTTTATAATTATAACTGTGCCTCATTTTAAATTAATTTCTAGTAAGATCATTATGCAAATTTATGGTTCTTAGTGGTAAATGTGGTTATTATTTATTCGTCTTCGTCAAGAGCAATTTCCCTTCTTTCTTTTAATAATAACTGTGCCTGCATTATGGTACGCCTGCAGAGGGGACCCACATAACTGCTGCATCACTCAACACGTGGCCTAGCACGCGTCGTTCATCCTTGCTCCCGCAAGGTGTCATACGCTTCTCCTCGGCTTTTCTCCCCATCGCGCACGGTCATTGATCTTCTTCCCTCTTTTCAACATCTATTTTGCATTATTTTATATATCAGGCCTAGCTCTGTGCTTTCCTATTTAGCTTTATATCAGGCCTTCTCCTCTTGCTCTTTGCTTTTCGATCAATATATTATACATAGCCTTCGCCTTGCACGCAATTGAACTGTTCGGGGTATTGGCAGAGCCGGGCAGTATATTGTCGTTGTTTCTCTTCTCTGGCTGTAACGGTAATGATCTCAGCTTCACTATCTTGTTTTCTCTCTGATTAGCTGTTCCGAAATTTTTTCCCTTATGTTGATTGGCAACTGCTAAGGGATATATTGCTCCATTTTTTCCATTTTCGTTTCCTGATCTTTTGGTCCTTATCTTCCGGTGTTATGCTCATGACTAAAAGCTGCGATTTTGTTTTGCTCAAGCATGCTGTGATCACTCATCATCTTCCCTAAAAATTAGAGCTCCTTGATTAATTGATTACTCGATTTATTCTATCGTTCCAAATTTCATAAAGGGGTTCTCTTTCTGGGAGGAGTTTGATATTCTCTCTGTTTTTTCTTGAGTCCTTTGCAATCTACAGCTGAATAGCCTGTGTCTTTTGTACTCTGCGAGCACGTAATTTGGTAATTGGAATTTTTGAGATGGCTATGTATGTAAGGTGTGGAATTATCCTAATCAGATAGGACACTTACAAAAGAAAATCATCCTTGGTTGCTTTCTGTGCCAACTTGCATATTGCCTTGGGCCGTGAACTTTCTCGGTTTTTGGTTATCATCGTTTTGCTACAGCTGTTTCTTTTCTGTAACCCACAGTCTGAAAATTTTGTTATTCCTATATGAATATACATAACTTGTAATTTGGAATTTCTATGGTATAACTTATACTCAATTTGGTTACGGAAACGAGAGGCTGAAACACTTATCTGCTTGGTGAAGGGCGGTTGGGCTAAAAGTTGAAATGATTGGCGAGGAGAACTTAAGGACGGCGGACTTGAACTTATGCTTTGAGCAACTTATGATGGTTGCAGGCGGTGGTAACGGTGGAAACAATACTGGAGGAGTGAAAATGGAGGCCGGGGTGATCACCGAATGGAAGGATATTCCGGTGGAGCTTTTGATGCAGATTCTGTCCCTTACTGATAATCAGACTGTGATCGCAGCTTCTGGAGTCTGCCGTGGATGGAGAGATGCTATATGCTTCGCCCTTACCCGCTTGTCACTCTCATGGTATATCTCTATTTTTCCCTCCCAATCTTTGTTTAAAGGTGTGTTTGGATGAAACCAAACCGTGGTTTGAAAAATGATTTTGGAGAATAGATTCTGGAAGAATAAATGTTATGAAAAAGTGATTTTGAAAAGTGAGAGTGCTTGAATAGTTGTTATCAGAAGCACTTTTTATATATATAAATTACTAAAAAAAAGACATAAGTTAATATGATAATTACAGAAAAAATAGATTTTATGATATATTTTAATTTGAAGGAATAAAATTGTTAATAATATATTTTTTATTAACATAATTAATAATACATAATATAATATAATTAATAAATAATTAATATGTATATATATTTTTAAAATATAAGATTAAATATGTTTATAAAAAAATATGTTTATAAAAAAATAACAAGATTCATATCTTATAAGCTCTCACACTCTCTCTTTTTTCTCCAAAAGCAAAAAATTTCTGCTTTTTCCAAAACCATGGTTTTGAACCAAAATCATAGTTTTAGTCCAAAACCACGGTTTGCCCAAAACCAGTGGGTGTTTGGGTGACTTATCATCCAAACTATGGTTTGGGGTGTCACCCAACGGAGCCTAAATTAGGGTGCTTTAGTCTCAACTTCTTTCTGAAGGATTACTCATACTGAACTGTTAAGCTATTAACAAGGCTGAGAAAGTCGAAGTTTCCTAGGAAGTAGGAATCACTAGGCTGTCAGACTCTGCACCTTGGTGTATGTCGTGGGACTCAGTTTCAGATGATGAGCACCAAATATAGGCCGTCCCTGTTAAAATTGGATAGTGTTACTTTGTTTTCATATTTTTAATAGTCCTTTGTTTTAAAAGATGCAGACTCTAAAAGAAAGATAATATTTTAACCGTGACTCTTAAAAAAATGAAATTTATTATTTAAAAAATTGTAAATTCTAAACTTTAAATTTGGTTGATTTCATATCTCTGCGATAATTTCGAATCGGACCTGTTAGCTTTGTAACATCAATTCAGAGTTTATTAAAATTCTTCTCTTTCTTGTAGGTCTTGGTTAGCCTTTTATGGGGTCTATATTATACTAGTGATCGCTTTGTTGAGAATTAAGTATCTTTACTAGTTCCTTTCTTTTTCCCCTCAGTGGTCTCGTCCTCTCTAACAATCTGTACAATTATTGGTTTTCCAGAAGTTTTATTATCTAGTTACATGTAAGTTATGACCATGTATTGATATTATTTTGAAAAAACTGATATATGCTTTTTCCATTGATTTATTTTAGTTCGTGAGATGACTTCCATCATAACAACATGATTACTTAACTCCTCTTTCTTCAGGTGTAGCAAGAACATGAATGACTTGGTCCTATCGCTCGTGCCTAAATTTATAAAACTACAAGTTCTAATCCTCCGTCAAGACAAACCTCAGCTAGAGGATAATGCTGTTGAGACTATCTCAAATTGCTGTCCCGATCTGCAGATGCTGGACCTCAGCAAAAGTTTCAGGCTTACTGATCGGTCTCTGTACGCCTTAGCCCGTGGATGTCCTGATCTTACAAATCTGAACATCAGTGGATGCTCGGCATTTAGTGATGTTGCTCTGGCATACCTAGCCAGTTTCTGCAGAAAATTGAAATGTTTTAAATCTTTGTGGATGTGTTAGAGCAGCATCAGACGCAGCATTGCAGGTATAATTTAAGACACCAGCTGCTTGCTGTTACCATTTTACTATTTAAAACCAGATGATTACCAGATTCCATTAGATGTTGCATATAAAATGCAGGCTATAGGACATTATTGCAACCAATTACAATCCTTGAACCTTGGATGGTGTGAAAATGTTGGTGATGATGGAGTGACAAGTTTAGCGGCTGGTTGCCCTGATCTTAGAACACTTGACTTGTGTGGTTGTGTCCGTATAACAGGTACAAAAAATTCTATAAATTCATCACATAGGATTATTACCTAATGTGATTAATTATGGTATTAATATATCAGTGTCTCTGCTTGGCTTGCTTTGCGATTCATTTCTCAACATTTCATCCTTTATCTCTCCTTATTGAGGATATCTTTTTTTTCCCCCCCTACAGTCGAAGCGGGTATGCTCTTTAAGATGTGTATAAAAGCCAATCCGATAGTCACGTGGCCTACATATTTAGCTTTAGTGATGGTTTAGGATTCATAGTTACCGCAGTAAGCAGTTGCTTTATGTATGCAGTGTTAGCGAATGAGGATGGGTTGAAGGCTTCGACGTCTCCTTAATAACACAATTCTGACTTTCAAATGTTGTCATTGCAGATGAGAGTGTGATTGCTTTGGCAAACGGGTGTCCCCATCTGAGGTCCCTTGGGCTGTACTACTGTCAAAACATCACAGATAGAGCAATGTATTCATTGGCCCATGGCAAAGTGAGTAATAGGATATGGAGATCTGTGAAAGGAATTAATGAAGAGGATGGGCTAAGAACTCTCAACATTAGCCAGTGTACAGCGCTTACACCCTCTGCTGTTCAAGCCGTGTGTGATTCGTTCCCAGCTCTTCACACCTGCTCCGGCAGGCATTCACTCATCATGAGTGGCTGTTTGAACCTCACTTCTGTGCATTGTGCTTGTGCTGTCCATTCACATCGAGCATTCACCTCCCTTCCATATCAAGCTCATTGAGCAGAGCTCCATGGGCTATACTTGGATGTTCCAGGAAGTGCGCTTCCACGGCTCAGAGAAGTGAACATTCCTCTTTTTGTATATATTTGTGTGGAACTTTATAAAATGTGAGAGACTTCGGCCGCAAATTAGCAGCCTTATGTTGTTGGAACCTGCAGACTATGTAGAACAACTTGAACTTTGTATCTGAGTAGTTTTAGTTTCCAAGATATCGTGGAAAGCGTCTGACATTTTGACTGCAAGAGCTGGGGTGTTCCAAATTGGTTGAGAGACGGTCTTTCATGCGCTGTTACGCTTTTTTAACTGAGAGGTTTATTTCCTGTAAGTTTCTGTCCACCTGCCTATTAGCAAAATGAGCTTATTATTATTGTTGTTATTGCTGCTGCAACTGTTACTACTAATTGGCGTCATGGATTCGCTTCTTTACGGCTGTGAGAGATGAGGGACTTGAAATGGTAACAGAGGAATGAGAATAATATTACGTATTTAACAAGGAACGGGGTGTGGTTCTGACAGTTTCTTCTGACTTGAAATGCTTTATGGAACACGAGTGAGTGCGACGTGGATATTCGGTTGGGGAGATGGGAGGCTGGGCAGTTGAATAGAACATGACTGCTCCGTTTATTGGATATGAAAATTGGACATGACGAATCTTGGAGAACGTACCACGCAAATAGGGACCGCTATTTTCCGTCTTTCGTTTTTCTAGACATTTCTCAAGACTCGAAATGAGATTCCTCATGCCCATATCTCGTTGAAGTTTGATTTGTTCCCAACGCATTCGAGTATATCCCCTGTATACGTTTCAGTTGCTTGGCACGTACTGTAAGCCAAAAAATATGAATGCTTTTTTTAAAATTAATATTTGAATAAGGAATAAATTAATGTTTTATTAAATAACTCCTCATTTTATCTCTTACATTTGCTCGTGATCTACTCCCTCCCCACTTCTCTCACCCCACACACACACACACACACACACACACACAAGATTAGTTTGAGATAAAAAAGACTTGAAGAAAAAGTAGTATGATGAAAACGATGCGTTTTTAAATGATTACACCAATGACAAATTACACATGGCTGGCACCACAGTTCCTCCGAAACTCTGCAAGACAGTATGACCTTTTACTATAACTATCATCACGAAAGCAAAATGCAGAACAAGGGCTGATATTCTTGTTTCACGAACCTCAGCGTCAACATCTGGCATGCATCATTTGCTTATGAAAACTATCCGTCATCCTCATCAAATGCTGGATTACAGAGGCATTTGAAGAGCTTTTCTATACCCTGCAGATCATGGGGAAAATGAATTTGTAGATTCCGGTAATCAACGTTTCTATGCGAGGCACAAATTAAGGATAATAAAAAGGCCAGAAGGCGTGCCAAAAAAGGAAAGTGATCTATAACATGCCTGATTGAAAAATGAAGCTCTGGGTGATTCATCATCAGATGAATCAGAACTATTTCCTTCATCATCAGAATCAGCGACAGTTTTCTTCTTTGATTTTGTACCTCCTTTCGATTTCTTTTCCTCAAATCGTAATTATAGTATTCATTTAGAATATAAAATACACAAAAGACTTCATTCTGCAAATAAATGTAAGTAAGCTCGAGCATATGTACTATGGACAGGAAAAAAATAACAAAAATCTGCTGACAAATTAATTTTACTGTCATGGGGAGTAACTATAGCGATACTGAGAATGCAATTGACAACCTGCATTAAAAGAACGAAAAGGCAAGACTATTTCTTATCGTGCACCTGAAATATCTTCCCGAGAATTTTGAGGGCTCTAGCCCGAGCTTTAAGTTCTTCTTTCTTGACATTGTTTTCCTTAAGGACCTACACAAAACAAATAATCAAAATCTCGTTAAGAATTTCATTGCCATTATTAAGTGTCCTACCTAGTGATAAAATTACCAGAATCTCAAGTGAATGTGGCGAAGCAAAGTAAAATTAAAAAATTTAAAACGGATAGTGGGGCCTTCAGACATTTCCAACTGCAACTTCTACATAATGGATTCCAACTTCTATAAACTACCTCCACTTCTTAATATAACATTTAATTTGTAATTTAATTTAAATTACAAACTAGATCATATATTAAGTACATAGTATTTTAAATTAAAAACTCACCATTTGACACACATGTACTAGTGTTACTTCTATGTCGACCACATTTAATTTCCACAAGGAACTCATCAACGTATCCTTATTAAGGCGAATATGGGACTCAACATTAATTTCAGCGCCACTACCATCCATTTTAGATTGCTTGCGGACGTCCTCTTGAAGCTGCGGTAACTGAAAAGCATCTAAATTTTGTGTAGTAAGTAAAATTAGATACGAATGACAATGTGGAGCACTAAAATATATGAATGAGTGCCTACTTAAGGGAAAATAATCTGAAAAATAATCTTAGTATCACATGCATTGGGTAAAAAAAAAAAAGCCATGTTAGTAGAGCTTCCTCCATTTGGATTCTAATTTGACTCGACTTTGCACTAGATGCAGATTGTTTATTTAAAGAATTAAAGAAAGCCAAAGAAGAAATGGATCACCAAAATCAAATCATCACAAAAAGCCCAAAGAAACAGCTAGTAATAAAAGGAAGGATCACTAACAGTTGCCCGTAAGGATACCTTTAGCAGCTGTGGATTGTGCCTTCCAACACTGTCCTTTGTTCCGAACCCATTCTCCTAAAAATGGCACGCCAAGATATATAGCCTTTTTCCCTAGTTCTTGCGCTGCCTGTCTGGAGTATATATAACCGATAGTATGTAACATATCAACTCCAAAAGCTGCATATAAACAATGGCGACGATTTGGTATCGATTTGATCGGGGCGTAAAAATGGCAGCAATTTGGTGACAACATTTAGTGTGCATGCAATGACATGCTACCAACCAAGTTTCTCAATTGCGAAGTCGTTATTTTACCCTTGTGATATATTCAAGGTCTACAGGATGAGAGGACCAGAAATATCATACAATATTTAATTTCTTAATATCATAATCAACTTCGCTTAAAATCTCAAAGCCGCTGGGTAAAAGATATTCAAGAATCGGATTCCGTGTCATGTTTCTTTTAAGTGGCATACATTGAGCTATGGCATGTCATGATGAGCATTTGCATGTATTTGCGGTGGGAATAAGAACTTCGATCAACCTGCATTAGAGAGTCGTCTCGCTTCAGATTCTGCACGCTGGAAAAATCCCTTTTTATCACCACGGACATACTGACTGAGAAACTCTTTCAAGAATCTTGCTAGTTCTTCCTCTCTTTCTCTTTGAACAATCTATATAAATGGGAAGCAAATTATACATGAGAAAAATGAGGATGGCTTTTGTTTACTCATTTCCAGAGGTAAATAAAAGTAATATGTCATGGCAAACGTCATCTCTTCTGCACCAAAATGTATATGCAATGCACAAGATGTTAGATAATTCTATAAGCATATGCCAAATTTTTGTCGGTTGAAGTGGTTCGGATGAACAAATTTATATCCTATAAGAATGCAGCATTTACAAGGAATTTTTTGTGTGAATGTAAACGAAGGAAGAATGGCCAGTTTCTAGCAGACAAGTTACCCAGATGAATTTTCTTCAAAGTAAATAAGAGAGTAGGACTGCAACAGTGCTACTTATGTGCTTTGCACCAGAAACCTAAAGGAAGAACATTCAACATATGATTAAATCCCAACTTATCACCAAGGCGTATGAGTTTCTTTTGGCAAGAATCCATCATCAGATTTAAAGTCGTAATATACAATTATATGTACTTAACCGCACGACAAACTCACCTTCAAATTTTCATGTAGTTTATCAGGATCCTCAGCTTCATCGGCTAGTTCAGAAGCAGCCATCGATGCCACAGCTAGATGCCCTATGTAGTCCTCAAATAATTCGCTTCCGAAAAGCAGGGCAAAGACTGTCATGGGGTCAAGCATGGTTTCTCTGTATCAAACCCATGAATCTTTTGAGGAAAAAATCTTTATAAACAATGCTAGTTTGTGATAATAAAAGAGTGTGACTGATCTTTTCATTTTTATTTAGTGCTGCTTTTCCCTTCATTTCAAAGAATTTATATTCTATCTTCAAGAGGTAATAGATTTCCTGTGGTTCTTCAGAATTTTAATAGCTTACTTCGTTTATAAAATTATGATAATTACTCTTTCGGCAAACGGTGTACAAACCAAAAAGTAAATAACAGAGTCAGTTAATTTATCCTCGTATATTCAGCGACTAGAATACCAAAATATGATGAAATACATAACGCAAGGCTAGGAGTTAATCTAAGATTAATTTGAGCATCATCCCTACCTTGACACCGAGGGCTTTCCGTTTTGATTGTACGCATTTCTTTGCATTGGATCGCTCAAAACTTGATAAGCTTCACCCAGAAGCTGTCAAAACAGAGAGAATCATACAAAATAAAGTAACGGTTTCAACTTAAGTGTCCTCCCGGTCCCATCATGCTGATCAGGATGTAGAATGTGTACTATAGTCTATGGGGAAAATTATACATCGCTTTCCTCAACGAGCAACTTCTAAAATTAACTTCCACTCAAATCAAAATCTGCATTACTATATAGAGGAGACTTGCCTGGAACTTCTCCGCAGCCTGAGGATCATTTGGATTTTTATCTGGATGAACACGCATCGCCTGCAGCAGTAGAAGCAGCAGCTCTAGCTCTGAGATAAGAGAATCTAGAAAATCTAAATCTCATCCAGAAGAAATAACCAAAGAGGAGCGGGACTCACTCATAATCTAACAGGACAAATTTTAGGGGGGAATACACGAAGGAAAAGAACGTATCATGAAAACCAAAGCAATGGAGTCAAGATCAGATCCAAACCTTCTGATAATAAGCCTTGCGAATCCCCTGATCGGAAGCAGAGGTACTAACCCCAAGAATATCATAATACTCTGTTTCCTTGACCATTGTGGACAACGGAGTAGTCAAGTGAGCTTGGAATATGGGGAGATAGGGAGTTTACTAAAAGAAGAGGATCAGAAGAAAGTGAATGACTGAGTGAGAGAGAGAGGGAAAGAAAGAAAGAAAGAAGAAGAAGAAGACGAAGACAGAGGTTTGAGGCCCACGATAGTCGCATACCTTTGCCTTTCCAGTTCCTGAGACATTTTACTAATTCGGGGAAACCGCTTTGTCGCGGGAGGGGACACTATTTTAAGCAACTGATCTTTGCGCTGGCGCTTTATCGATCCTATCATTTTCAAATTTCAAGCCCCTTTTTTTTGGGCCGAATTCCCCCCCCCCTCCCCGGGGGATTGCGCTGCTTTTCCAAAAGAATTCAGGGCCTAGCCTGCCTCTTTGGGCTTTTTTTCTTAGTTTGTACTCCTAAACAAACAATTTCAGATATGGTACTATTTAGGGGATATTTAGATATTATGAGAAGTACTTTAAAATTATTTTTTTACAAATCAATATAAACTTCTTTATATACTACCTTCATATATAGTAAAATTAATTTTGAAATTATGATTTGGTTTACATCTAAAACTTATTTATTTTCCTTGTGTTGGTTTTACTTTGACCCCAAAAAAATGTCAAGTTTCCTTTTCTCCTTCCATTTCTTTATTAATATGCTCTTTAGTAGTTCAGGTTCAGAAGAAAGAAAGAAAGAAAGAAAAAGTCATGACCCCAGGGGTAAAGTACCTACTAGAGGAGGCTTGAATATAAAGGGATAAAACTTGGAATTGAGGGTGATCACTTTTGCCAATAGAAGGCACCTACGGCAAAACAAAAGCAAGAGGTCCTACCGGGAGTCGAACCCAGGTCGCTGGATTCAAAGTCCAGAGTGCTAACCACTACACCATAGAACCTAGATGACACCCGGCGGCAATTCAAGTTATGTAGTTATTATTTTAGAGGATACACTGCCACAACACGACGAAACAATGGACTGTGCTCGAAATGTTGAACAAAAAGAAAGAAAGAGGAAATATCCTCTCCTTTTTATCTCTTTTTTCCCTTTTTTTTTTCAGTATGTTGTTTGACCGCGCTTGAAATATTGAACGCCCTAAAATTGATGCCATCTCCATCTAGAATTAAAAAATGATTTCATCGACAGTTATAGGAGGTCATAAAATGAATAATTTGACAAAACAACTTTTTAAGTCACACTACAACTAAAGAATCTGGATCTTGCTCCCGGGCCCAAAAATAGCATTGATATGATCTTGGCATACATGGGTAAGTCAGTTATCTAAAAATCCATTTAAAATAACTTATAAATAATTTTTTAATTGTTATTTACAGAATATAAGATAAGTATATAAAAAAAATTATTTTAATTTACATAAAACTTGTTTATAACTGATTTCTAACGTCACGCGTCCTAAAATTTTAGTGATGGCTTTTTCCCGAAACAAAGGCAGCATAATAATGACTCACGTATTTAATGTTAGGAATTCTACAGCGCTTTTTTCCGACGAGAAACGGGAAAAGGAAGGGTGGGAATGATGGCGGGGGCAGTTAAGCAACGGTGCTGCGACATTCACGTCCTCCGTTTTTAACTCTCTGTCCGCCTTCTTTTGCCTTTTGATTTATACTACTAACTAAATAGCCAAATATCATTAGCTTTTAGCTGTTTTAAAGCAGGCATGCATTGTATAGTATGACATCTAAACAACAGCATGGTGATGATTCGTGTTAAAAATTAAAGAGCTTTGATATAGACGCATGGTTTCAGCACCAAGAACGGAAGCGCGGCATGCATTCCTGATTGACTATTCACTCACCCTATACCATTAAGACGGAAATCTTTTCAATGTGGACAAATTCTCAACAACTTTCATCATTTAATCTAAGTTATACAGGCTCCAATGAAATTTGATTACACTAGCATTCCAAATGAGACCGAAATGTGGAAAGTTTAAACCCGTACACAAACATTACAATCACCAAGAACAACAACCACCACTTGGTGAATCAGATTGTGGAGGTTTCTCCTTGAAGATGTTCTTTTTCACGCCGGACGAGCCCTCAGCCAAAAGGCTTGGCGTTTCCAAAATCTGCAGATCAGCGGTGGAACCCATGTCAGAATTCGCCATTCCACTAATAGAGGATTGAGCATTTGGTAAATATAGAAAAGAAAATAGGAGAGTAAAATCTAAGCCCAATACTTTTGCCAAAAATGGTAAAAGATATAACGAGCATGTTGATTAGATTAAGGATTGCAATGGTCAAACAAATGCAAACTCTACAGTAAGTATACAAAGGGCCCAGAAGTATAGAGCCAGGACAATATTGAGCCTTATTCTCCACCCCGTGAAATTTTGCCAGGTCATTGCTTGAAACTCTTAACTTTGGGTTTGCTATTGTGCTACAAGACTCCTAGAGAGAGAAAGGGGTTTCCTTTAGCCATTTTTTTCATGAGCTCTTAATTCGTTTCATTTATCAGTGTCAGTATCTATGGAATGGGAACACCAAAACATTAGAAATCACAGCGTGCATTTGTCCATCTCAGAGGGGAGTAGAGGAGTCCGAGAGTTGCATGGGTCCAATACCTTTAATACAAGCTCCTCAAAACACTGCTCCACATTGACTCGGGTTTTTGCACTGCATTCAGTGAAAAGGCATCCATATTCTCTGGCGAAGTCTATCCCTTCCTTTTTGCTGACGACCCTTTCATTTTCCTGAAATATGAGACAATTTGGTTGCACATTCTTAGACCAATAATTTAACAGCTACCAATGGAACCATAATAACTTGTCGATAAGCTCATACAAAAATACAAATTCTTGAAAAGCATACCTTATCAACTTTATTGCCTACAAGCATCTTGATACAATCTTGATTTGTCGAGTATAAGTCAATTTCCTTAGCCCATATATCAGATAGATTTGTAAAGGTTTCTCTCCGTGTTACATCATATACTGTATCATATTGCAGATTACCGACTTAATAAAAAGGTGTATAGTATATAATGTGACAAAAATGCAGCTGCCACAGATTAATTAAAAAAACTGTAACTTAATTTCTTTTAGAATAGAAACAGGCCATTGCTATCCTGTTGTAGCCAAACTTATGGTCTAAGAATCAGTACAATATTCATTGAAATCTAGAGATAACACCAAATTTAAAAAAATAATTAAAAAAAATGCCAGCGACAAATAAATGAATAAAAACAGAAAACTGCGCACCTATAAGCTAACTCTATCTACCCTAACGGCATATAGAGTGAATCAGATACTCAAATTGCAACAAAATTTAAGCAAAAGTAAATTCTGCTCTCAAGGAAATTGTCAATTCTCACTCCTCAAACTTTCAATAATTCCAACTTGAAGGTAACTACCAGCAAGTTATTCAGATTTAAGGTCATTAGGCTTAATTCATTAACACGAGTAAAATGGCCCACTGATCATGGGCGAACGCAGAGAACCTTGATCTAATTTTGTCTTCAGTGATGCCAGTCATGTAGGCATGCTCATTGTCTTCTCAACAGCTCACATATTTGGGCTCTAGCTTGCAGAAACTTCGGTTCAATCCACATTTTGTGACTTGCCCAGTCCCCTCCAAGTCCTAATTAAGCATTTCACTTGGTGTAGCAGTCAGTACCACCAATATTGGAGTTGCATTCACATAGTCCCCCGCCTTCACTAATACATCCCCAGTCCTCTAATCTAGGACTCGTAATTTTAATATAATTTCAGATTCAGCCATGTTATCAAATTTTGCCATATGACGGCATCCCGCCATGAATATAAGAATCACGGAAAACATCCATTTGAAAAAATGACAAAGCAAGAATCTTCTATCAGCAGAAACATAAGATAGAAATAGAAGCACTACTAAACCGTCATATAATGTGATTCAAATAAACAAGCTGCAAAAGTTCAATCAATTTCTAACAGATGTGCAAATCATATTCAAGAAATATTGATGGGAAATATAGCTATAAGAAGGAGAAAATCAATATACCCATAATTATTCCTTGAGCTCCTCTGTAATATGAACTAGTAAGTGTTCTAAACCTTTCCTGCCCGGCTGCTCAAATAAGAAATACAAAGTCATTTCAAAGATGGTTGAGATACCTCTCATGCTTTATTCATAAAATTTTGCAACAAAAAGGACCCAAAAAAAGGGATTTTATTTCTGCCAAACTCTCGAGTCTCAAGTCTCAACTTTGCTACCCACCAAGTACTTACAATTCACCACCTAGCGCACACGTTATATGAAAATATGCTAGAGCTCCGCCACTCTAATGACTTGAATTCATATCGTGTGTGTGCGTGTGTGTGTATGTGTGTTTGTTAAACTAATATCAAAAGTCGGACATATTAAATGATATATTTTTCAAGTACGAAGGGATGCAAAAATACAGGGTATGACAAGGAAGCTAGAATAGAGAATATAATAAATATTCACTTCAAAGGACTTATCATTGACACAGTAAATTACCTGTGTCCCAAATTGCAAGTTTCAACTTTTTCCCGCCAACTGTAACATACTTGACCTTGAAATCAACACCTGCGTAATTCTCATAAGAATCAATACTTAATACCTAAGAAAAGCACTCATGTCTGGCATATAGTTATGTGAATACATCATAGTTTGTTTGGCTAAAAACCCCTATAATCAGTTTTTAACCACGCAAAGTCAACGTCATCTGATGATCATCAAATCAAAGCAACCGGTTACCAAGAATCTGAGAAGACAACAATGCAACCGAAAGGCACCCATTTTCCTTGTATGGTATACAAAAGATACTGCTTATAGCGCAACATAGAACTTCGTCCTACTTAATTCAATGGTCCAATCATCATTACTAAACAGAGGTTTTGGTTTATGTACCGGGAGAATAAACATTATTGAATCCAGTACAGAACCATGTGTGTTAGAAAGACTTGCTCTACGAGGCAAAGGCAAGTGGTACAAGACCTATAAGGAAGGATGGGGAGAAGTATCCGAGGAGTGGAGGTAATGCGAAAGCAGAACTCACCGATAGTAGGGGAAAGATCTTCGAAAGTATCGGACGTGAAGCTCAAGAGCAGCGTGCTTTTTCCAACCCCAGAATCCCCAATAAGCAGCAGCTTGAAGAGGTAGTCAAATTCAGGCTGACTGGACGAGGAGGAAGAAACCTCCATTGAAACGTCAGTTATCGTTACGGGAAAAGGGGGTCGACCGAGTACTTGGATCAACGGAGATGGGTTTGGAGCAGAGAAATTCTTTCGTTTATTAACACCTTGTGGACGTTTATTCGTGGGGAGAGAGTCGTAGAGATAAAGCAAAGTAGAGAGCGCAGAGAAGAGGAGAGAAGAAGGTTGCCGAGATGCAAAGAAATCTCTATAAAGGTCAGACGAATTCTTGCCGCAGTGGGCGTGCCCGTTTCCCACCGATTGCTTCACTTGGATTCTATTTCACGCGCAAAACATAATGAACTATTTCGCCAAAAAAAAAAAAAGTAACGAGCTTTGATATTTTCACTTGGGAATTAAATTATCCATCTTAAATTATAGTGATCGGGGAAGAAAAAGAGGAAATTTGGCTCTCAAAAAATGCATACTCGTCATATCCATCTCTAGCTAAAGTTAAACATTAATAGCTGTCAAAAAAATTAATAATATTATTTTTGGTCAGAATAAAAATTAATAATATTATAAATTTATTGTAAGTATCTTAAATCTTAAAATGCTAAAATAGTCGTGTGTCGTTGGCAAAAAAATCGTCATGCGTCGGTTCCTGAAAGCGGAAAACAGCTGGGGAACTCCTTTTTTTTTTTTTTAACCTCTGCGTCATTATTATTGAGTTTTCCGTACTTCCTGGGCCACCGAACCTGAAACTATATGGGCCTATGATGATGGTATGGCCCAATATTTCTCTTTTTATTTTGTTATGGAAACTTGAGGTGGGCCTATTTTTGATCGAGCTCATTAATGAGGCTTCAGTGGGACCTAGTTTCCGCAATCTTGAAAATTAGAAATCAAACATGAATGCCGGAACATAAATCGTCTTGACGGTGTTCCATCATGTCTGGGAACTTAAAACTTTCTATATAGGTAGCTCTGTATTAATTTTTGGATAATCTTTAATTTGATGGACTGAATTTGTATTTTGTAGAAATTACTCGGTCTTGCTTTCTACAGATTAAGGTCAGAATGAACTCATTCACATGCTACTCCTCAATTTCTATAATAAAATCTATTTTGTATTGTAATTTACACTATAAAATAAATCTTAAAAGAGTACTCCATACTTATAAGAAATAAAATATAAATATGTATTTAAATACATTATTGAACGCTGCAACCACGTCGTGTTGTACTTGAGTACTGCCATCATAGTCGTTGAGTCTGCTTCCTGGCAGAATAATAAATGATCGATCGTTGATCTGTTAGGCCGGAGTACATAAAAGAAGATGGAGGAACTTAGCACATGGCCAGCTCTAAAGTCATTTGTTTCCTGTTGGGCCAAGTACCGATCGGTTCAGGGCTCGACCCGTAAAGCCTCCCGCATTGCGAGCTTATTAACGCATGCCAATATTAATTCTGATAGAAGGAGCTCTCATTAATTAAGGACTCAGTTTGGACAGATTTGTAAATGACTTTTGAATTGTAATTTATAGAGTACAAAATAAATATATAAAATAATTTTTATTTTGATTTACGTGAAACATGTTTATAAACATAATGGGCTTGTTTGGGATAGCAGTAAAAATCCCTTATAAACACATTTCACGTAAATCAAGATAAAAATCCCCTCACATGTTTATCTTATATTCTATATATCACGATTGAAAAACTATTTATAAATTGTTCTAAACAAACTCAATGTCAAACAGGCTCTAAGTACAAGACTCTAACCTTTACAATACCCAAAAAAAAAAAAAAAGCTACTCCTGATTGAGCTAAGTGACAGTTGAATTTGGTGCCACGCAATTTTCTCTCGATTCCCCGTCAACTAATACGGACAACTCATTTATCAATTTTTTGATTCATAAATTGAAACTATGTTTAACCTTGTAATTAACTGCTGCTTAATATTTTGGAGACTCGTAATATATACCCCCTTTGGTACAAAATATATGGTTCATCTAAAAGTTTTCATTCGGTCTTAAATATGAAGTTCAATTTTTTGTTATTTTTCATATCAACCATTTCTTCCTTAAAATATTCCTATTTATTGAGGTATTTTTATCCTTGCAAATTAAGTTCTAAATATGAAATGGTAAGAATATTTTTGGAAAAAAAAATCATAAATTCCCTATATTATTATTTTTAAAATTAACTAAAAATGAATCCATATAAAGGATTGAATTAGGAGGAGTATCCAGTGAGTAACTGCCACTACCTCGACTTCCTAGAGGGAGATTTTGAGAAGAGTAATATAAATGAGACCCACGTGTGCGGCAGGTTTCATTATTCTCTCCGTCTCGCCAGAATCTAGAAAGACTTCAGTTCAGTGCCCTCTAATTAGGCCACGTCCTGCAACCTTGTCTCCCAGCCCCTCCCATTACGAACCACCTAATCTAACTAACATGCACATGCTGGATTAGCTCTCTAAAGGGTGCGCCACTGTCAAAATGCCCCTTACTTTGCACCTTAATTAAATGGCCAAAATCCATGAGATCACACCTTCGCCAATCAGCTCTCGAAATTTGGGTTATTTTCAATCCTTTAACTAGTCCAAAGCCAAGAATTAATTATACACATCACTGACCGTATGGAAGAAAACGTCAAATTTGCTAAAGGCATTTCGCTTTCATTTGCTGGCCAGTATAATCGCCATTAATTTTGACGGATCCCAGAGAACCACCAGAAAAGCAAAAAGATAAAGAGAGAAGAGGATTTTTCAGTGACAATCCAGCCCTGGGGCGGTGCGAATCTGACGCCCCTGACGTTGATCTGCTTAAATTATGCATCTTCTTGTATAAGCTCCCGCCCCCATGAAAACATAAAGGTAATTGCTTTTACTACTTACAAGAAAATATTTGACGTTCCTGCTGATTGAAAAGTTGTGTACAGAATTGTTGATAAGTCCAAGTTGTCGGTTTCTTCAGGCTAGTCATGGTACAATCGAAGTTGTTACTTCTTACTTCTTACTTACTTACCGACCTCCTCGCTTTTAATCCCCGAGTTCAAATATGGTGGCTACCCACAGCAGCTAAAAGCCATCATTCAATGGATGCTGCATGTTAAAACAAAGAATTATATATGCATCAGTACATGTAAAACCGAGATGGAGTTGATTTTGAAAGTAAATTCTGTTGTTTTAGTCAAACTTTCAATAATGAATGCTAAACTGTGTCTATGTTAGTTTGGCTTAAGGGAAGTAGGGGCCATATTTTCACTTACAAGGACGCCAGCTCTCCGATTAGTCTCATTCTTTTCTTCCAGATCTTGCGAATCGATAGGAGCGCGTCAAAGGGTGTTGACATTTTGTTAGATGATCGCATCACAAATATCTCATTCTTTTTTTCAAAGAAATATTAATCAGCAGATTCCTACTTCTTATTTGTTTCGCATGATTTTTAATTAAATTCTTGTTTTTGTTTTTGTAATTTTTTGTTAGGTTTTTGTGATTTACTCGATCAAAGGCATTACTCTTCATTATTCTGTTGATTATGACTGATACGAATGTTGATTGAGCAAAGCGTAAATTGATTTGGGGGTGTTGTATTTTGGATCGTCTAAAATATAATTTATAAATACTTCAAAAAGTTTATCCGTAAGGTCTCCTCATATAATATTTCAGATTCAGTTATACTACCTCTGATCTTTAATATAAGAGTTTGTTTGACTTTTATTTTAGTAATAAATTCAATACCTCAATCTACTTTGTCTTTCATATTTATTAATTTTTTTTTCAAAGTAGTTATTATAATAATGTTAGTTCTAATCAATATATTTTATTAATAAAAATATTTTAGGAAAGACAACATCTATTTATTACTAATAACTAATGTCAACTAGCTTTTATACTAAGCACTAGATGTAACATAGGGAAGTGCTTGCTCACCACATACAGTTTTTTTTTTTGGGGGGTGTTTCAGGCTCACCAAATACAGTTTAAATGTGTATATTTTATGAATGCGTACGCATGTGTCCAAATTGACAGTTATGACGTCAAAGTTTGATTCCAGTGACCGTTTTGCATCACAATATCTTCAGTTCAATTATATCACATTGGAAATTAAAGGGGAGTACGTATAGCTGCCCCGTATCCACGCCATCCATTGCCCAAGCTAAGTAACACCTCACCCGTCCAATACGCTTAATGATGCTTCTTCAAGCTCTGCCCAACAACAACGCGTTTTGTCATACTATTTCATTTTTTTTCTTTCCCATCTGTTATATCATTTTAATTGAATTTATACACATGGCAGCGATCGATTCCCAGTTTCTTCCGTTGCTTCGTGTATATATTTTTTTAGGAAAATGGTGGAAATGAAGCTGAATTTGATACATTTAAATCAACTTATGAGTTTGAGTGCTTAGCATAAAATTTTAATTATTCTACTATTTATAACATGAATAATGTAACTTTTCGTATATTTAATAAGAGATATAATATTGATTTAAACAATCAGTTTAGGATTCGAATTAACATTGCAAATAAAAGAATCATGTTAAAAAAGATAAGTCCCATCTGACACAGCAAACAATGTTAGAGCATGATTTAATAGTTTTTTTTTTGACGACAGTATAATAGTATTAAATACAAGATAATTTACCTGTGTACTAAAAAAACAGTACTTCTATATATTCTTTTTTTTTTGGTGGAGTTCTATATATATTCATCTTAATTTGAATAAGTGAATTTAGTGGAAAATTAAAATAGAAATGATCATCATGGATAATTAATAAAATTTAACCCCTTTCAAGAAGTTAGCATTCATTTCGGTTATTAAAATTATAATTTTAAAAGTATTTTGACAGTATACAAAGTAAATATATAAAAAAATTTGTCTTAATTTATAAAAAAATATTTTTAAAAAATATTTTCACGGTTACCCAAGCACTCTTTTAAATGTTCTTCCATTCCGTAGAGAGGGAAAGGCGGGGCATGGTTTGAGGAGGTTTGACGGACTGCCTAAAGCCTACCATAACAGGTCGGGTCAGATCGAATCGGATAGCACGAGGAAAAAGACAAAAACAGGATTACAACCGGAATGAAAAAACTGAAACAAGCTGATTAATCACACGCTAAAGAAAAATAACTTGAGATCAAAACAAAATCTCTTGCCTGATGTTCATCCTATGCTCATTTATTTTCACTCACTTTCCCCGCTTTTTTATCTATATCTTATCTATCCTCTCACGCTTCCCACAGCACAGACGCCAAACCCCAGAGAAACACCAGTTTCCATAATAGCATTTCGTTGCGCCCACGTGTGGGCCTTCTCTGGTCCTCGCATGAAGGCTAAAGGTCCATGGGAACGGTCCTCCCAAATGACCCTTCTCTTTTGTGAAAACAACTCAAGTCGATGTCCTATGTTAGCTTTGCCTCTTCATGACCAAGCAAGTTCCAAATATATATCCGGCTTCTAGTACTTGTTGAGTCTCCCCGTGTTATTCCTTTGCCTGAGTTTTTTATTAGGTCCGACCTAATCCATCCTAAATTTGATTTCACTAGCTAGGATTGTCAGAATGAGCCGGGTTTCGGGTTTGACTAGGTAGCTTGTCAAAAGAACTGGGAGGTCAACTCGCGCAGATTTCTAATATATAGATAAATTCTTCGATAAAAGCCATGGGGTTTATTAGCATTAAACCTCATGCTCTTCACAAGTAAAAAGTGGGCATTTGTTTTTGAAACTCCCAAATCTCGCAACAAATGTGAAACATGATCATAGTAGATTTATCAGGAGTAATCGTGCGCATAAGTAGTAGTAATTTGACACGCATCAAAGACAACAGCGACCAAGTGACAATTATCCATTGAATTCAGCAATGTACTGCGTACGCTGTTGTATGGCAATAAGATCTTTCATCACCTTTTTCTTCTTAGTCCCAAGCCAGCACGCGCATGCAGTAAAAGCATTAATTTCTCATCGAACTAGTGCTTGCCGTTGATTTATACACGCAGTGCAATATTCTATCACGACGACGGAACAAGAAGAGACCTGCTTATAATATTTCATGCAAACGAAAAGTTTGGGTTCCTGACTACGCCCTGCACGCAGGATCTAGAAAACGAGAACCCTTACATCCTACATGGCTTACAATTAAATTAATAAGTCCACATGCATATTATAAAAAAGAGAGAATGAAATGCTCAAGTTACGTAATCAAAACTACGAAGCTGGTCTCATGTTTCCTCATGAACTTAACATATACTGTACTATACTGCTTTGTTATGACGAAGAGACACCCACGCCAAGAAAATCAATAAAAGGAACTTCTTTGTGTTCAATTGGTTCGTGATCTTCTTGCGCTCGCTGATCCGTAGAAGCACGTAACTTGGTGAATGCTGTGCTATCACAGAAATTGGTAAGGTCCCTCTTTGTCTTTCCATCATCATTGGAACCAAAAAGACCAAAAGCACTTGATGGAACGACTCTCCTGTAATTTGCTGAAGAACTCGGATAAATTCTGCAATGAAACCTATCGGAACCTTTGGGTATTTCTGATATGTAGTGATTGGAGTGAGAATTGAAGAAATCTCTGCCTTCTCTTCTAAATGAATCCACAACAGGAGAACCGTTTGATGAGGAGGTTGCAAAACTCCAGGAAGCCAAAGAAGTGGAGGGAGAATCCGCAAATATTCTATCTTTATGATCAAGGTTACGAAAATCAAAGAATCTGGCATTCTCTAACCCATTCATTCTGGAGCTAATTAACACGCCTTGATAAGAATTTGATGCAATTTTCTTGGAGGAACTACTGTAATTAGAATCATTGTAGTTATAAACTTCTTGGAAGCTTCTCTTCCCGCATAACTTAGATTGTTCTCTTTGCTTGCGCGCCATTATAACATGCCAGTGATTCTTCACAGCGTTATCAGTACGACCTGGGAAAAGCCTTGCTATGAGTGCCCACTTATTCCCATGGATGCGATGAGCTGCCAGTAGCCTCTCTTCTTCCTCTTCTGTAAATGGCCTTCTGTTAATCCTAGGATCAAGCTGATTAAACCACCTTAATCTGCAACTTTTCCCTGGAAAAAACAAAATTACTTGGAATTTCAACACATGATTGATGATATACCACCTGATATTTGAGCGATTAAAGAAATACATGTCATATGGCTATGTGAATAACATGCTCTCGTTAATTAATTAGAGTCAAATTAATAGATATATGCCAAGTTCTGAGCTCTTGAAACTCAGCAAGAGTTCTACCGTATGAATGAAACCAGCAAAACGAAGGAGAACAAGATGAAAGGAATTAAATTATGCTTCGATTCGTTAGTTTTAAATTGAGGAAAATGTCCAAACTAAAATTTTCTTTATTTTGTCTTCCATTTTCTTAAACTCTCTGGCATATATGCATATAGAGATAAGTATTAAGCAGAAGGCAAGATGTACATGAGATGGTGGTACCTGATCTTCCTTGGAGCTTCTCGGCGATTGAATTCCAGTTCTGGGCACCGTATTGTTGAACGAGTTGCCGGAGTCTCTCATCCTCGGAGGGTCTCCAGTGACCGCGAGGGCAAGTCTTGGTGTCCTCGACTGCAGATGAAGAAGAATCCTCCATGGAAAGGGGAAGCTATTAGCTAATTGGTGTAAGAATTAAACTTGAAGATGAAGCACTGGAGAGAGAGAAGTCCAAAAGAAGATATATAAGAAAGTGGAGGGGGGCAGGGGGTTGGTTTAGGGTTGTGGATGGCAAGTCACTTTTGTTGTCTTCACACGATTAATAACCTAGCTATGCCCTTTATGTACATATATACGTGTATATAATAAGTAGTCCATTTAGCAACAAAAGACCCTTCCTCTTATGTCATTGCTGGTCCTCTATTTCCACATCAAATTCCTTTCATTCTTTGTTTCTTTGTATTCGTTTTCAAATTTCTAACTAAATATATATTCTATCGAAAACCATGGTACCACGTTATATCAAACCCTCTTGCTTGGTTACCGTATAGTTTTTACTAAAGGGACGTCTCTCCTTTTTCTGAGACTGCGTTAATTAATATTCCACATCCCTCAAGCACACCAAATTCCTTAACAAGCAACTGTAATATTGTGACATTTATGCAAGTCGCTCGGATGATAATTCGGTAAATAAGTATCTTAACTTGCGCGGTCAATTGAGCACTTAATTAACCAGTTTAAATAGTGATAGGAAAATTTCCATACGAGGTTTTGACTTGCTATAAAATAGAACAGCATAAGATTTTCTAATTTATCATATATATACTCCTCTGGTCCGATTTATGGGCAAAGAGATAAGATATTTTTGATTCTATTTATAAGGTATTCAGAGAGAAAAAATTTGTATAAATATAAAATTTTACCCTTCATTTATTATTGTGTTGACATTGTTTACATGAGATATAATGTATATTAAATAAGAATAAAGTTGGAAAGTTGTTGAATTTTAAATAAGAGTTAAGGAAGTTTAAGTTTTTTTTTAGTTTGTGTGAAACATATTAAAAGTAATTATAAATAAGACTAAAGAAGTATATAATTATATTGAGATATACATATCGTAGGTTTTGAATACTCTAATTTAAAAATTAAAACGTACACATACCGAAAGCCACCGTATAGAGACTTTCAAATCATACTCTAGTTGATTATTAGTATTGATTATGATATGATTTCAGTCGCGAGGGTAGTAGAAGAAAGTGATACACAATTTTGGCTTTATTCTGGGAAATGCAGAAGAACCATAAATCAAGGGCTGAAATTCGCCAATAATTTGTAAAACAACAACTGAGAGATTTAAAGTCTGTATCAAGGTCAAGGCAATCAATTCGCCTAGAACTGAACTGTTGTCTTTCTGGCTCATCCGTCGTAGAAGCTTTTGCAGCAAATGAAAAGGCAAATGTAAATTAATGCATTAGAAAGCTGGTAAACTCAACGTCGTCATGCCCTAATTTGGAAACATGGCAATGTTAAATTTGGTGAGCTTTAAAAGCGTCCACATGCTTCCCAATATAATATCGCTGGGCTGGTACTTAGTGGTCAGATCAATGTTTGCTCTTGAATGTAATGAGTAATAATAGGCACCATGTGGGATATCAACTCCTATAGTATATTCTATACATCGATCGAGCATTAATAGATAGAGAAATTAATGAATCTCGATCGCTCTTTCGACTCCACATAATTAAATAGAAATAATTTCGTATATGCACACTTAATTACTCAAATTTCAATTTTCCCTTTTTCGAAGATCAGCAACTTACACAATCAATCAAATGCCAATTCTAAATAAACTTGTAAATCAAAGGTATTTGATGTGCATGGCCTAATTAAATAATAGTAAAAATGCATAAAAAGAGATAAGGTTACAGCTATATGGAATATGGAATATTATTGCGTATACTTTTTCCGTAGAGAGTAACAACCTTTACTCAGATCAACACCCATTTCAATGCGTGTATCGTTCTCTTTTCTGATCTATGGTTAAGCATAACCAAAAACAGAAAGGGTTAATTAATGAGCAGCGATGATATATGACAACTAATTAATAAGTTGCTCAGTTTCAAATTGCGCTGTCCTGTGAAGAATTAATGCTTTTGTGAACAAAAAAAAAAAATTGACCAGAAAGTTTTCTCATCCTGATGGTGAAAATGCGGACGCAACGAACGGGTGAACAAGCCGAGAGGGTCAAGACAGCCAAATCTGAAGAAACGTAACATGCATTGGATTTGGGGGGTTATTGTGATAGAGATGAAAGAACTGTCACGATCAATTTAATCTTAAGGATTAATTCAAATGCCGTGTAATTGTAGCAATTAGAAAAGTACTTCTAAACCGTCTGCCTTTGTTTTCCATACTTCAATTCCATGCAGATGGCAAGTCAAGTAAAACATTGAAGCGCTTTGTGAAGTAACTATTATTCAAATATTTGTTCATTTCTTAACGGATTGAGATTTCATACCCCACGAAATCGAACAGTCTTCTTTCCCGTCTAAATAAATATACGAATTATATTACACATTGATCATTTGAAAACACTAAAAACTTGGCTTCTAGTAGTTCGTTGGTATTAAAATTATATATTAGCGATTGGTGGATCTTGCCTATACCCTACAGCATGCCGATCATATCAAACCCAAATTGGGTCTCATTTTTATTATAAATATTTCATAAGCTTGTGTGTGTGTGTGGATCCTGGGCTATGTGGACGAGGTAATTGAATTGGTAAAACATTCCATGCCTTCTGATTCCACGGAGAAATATGCTTATAGGTTTGATCATTTGTTTAATTATGGGTGCCTATATTGACTATTTGTTCCATGCCTTCGTGGTTTGTTTAATTTGTTTCATTCACGTTTCAAGCTCCCCAATCACATGCAATCATAAATTATATTTGTAATGATTTTATTTGACAAATATCTCCATATATAGGTATATGTAATTATCACATTGAATTATTTAAACAAAAAAACTACGCACAATTAATTCTAATGATGATTATTACCTATTTTTATCCATCAATGATTATTACCTAATTAATAATCCAATTTACACAAGGCTTTATATACAGCATTTTTCTAATTAAATAAGTTATTATTGTTTAATTAATACCTTAAAAAAGAAAGAGCTCGGTGAAAACAGATCTCAATACTATGCTAGCGATGACTGGCCAATTTCTTAGAACTGACTTTATTTGGTCTTATCTTGTTAACAAGACTAAATCCAGCAGTTGCGATACGTTTTGGAAAAACACTAATTCTATCAGTAATTTATGCTTTATCATCATAAATTAACCAACCTGCAGTGTTTTGGAAGTCTAGCGATTGAAAGATCGTCCAAATTCATTTTGACGACCTATATTAACCCAGCAGAATTGTTCCTTTGGACAGATATAATGAAACTGTAAAGCCTCAAACATTGCATTCAATCTCAAATCGGTTTTCCACATCGTGTTTTTTTTTTTCTCCCCTGAAAAACCCTAATTTCTTGAAGGTGCCGAGAGTTCTCTAGGATGTCCACCCGAAATAGCAGATGAAAAAAAATATGATGACCCGTCTAAATTAACGGTGCAAGGACTTGACTAAATTTCAATTAAGATCAAAGAAAGTGATCACGTTGAGGTGATCTCTCAAATTCGAAAGTGACTGCAGGTCTACAACAGAAACTTGAAGTTCAACTCTGACGGATGAGAAATGCGATCGACTTCAAAGTTAAATAATAATTAAAAACGACACAACTTCCATTGCCTAAAATATACAAGGTTAATTACTACTGCTGTCTGATACTTGTGAATTAATTCCACCATGCAGTAATTTTCTGTCACTATATTATACGAGAACTGAAACTAATAAGGGCCTCTAGCCTGAGAGATTGAATTGAATTAGCCTGTTCATTTGGTCCATCAAGACAGCATTTAAAGCTCTTGGCAGGTGTGCTCCCTGCGCAACAACACCATAATTAGAAACTCAGTTACATAATAAGAGCTAATTATTAACGGTCCTAATTATAAGATCTCTAATTCACTTTGTTTTCTAAATTTATAATACGTTCTCAAAAGTATCTCTATTATTAATTGTAAAGTATCCATCTAATTGTAATTTCAATGTACATGATTGAATAAAAGTAATTTTAAAAAGTCAACACACATTTGTTACAAATAACCAACTTTACTAATTTTTTTAATCTCCTCAATTTAATTATCTAGCTCTTATATTAAAAACCAGAGATATATATTAAGTTTGTCTTTGACTCAAAGTGGCAGCTGAAGCCATTTGATATATATAAGACTTATAAAGTTATCTTCTTTAAATCAATCTTCAATTAGTTAGCATGGGACTTTATTAGGATATTCTGATACTCATGCCATCCAACTGTATAAGCTTGAGTTTTTTCTCGGCCACGAGATACGATTGCCTTTGCCTATTTTCTTCTTATTCATTAATATTTCCCTACTGCATCACAAATAATTCAAAGCAAGTTGAAACTCCACCTTCCCTTTATAATTAGCTTGGAATGGAAACTTTCCACAGTGAGCGATCATATGAACATAATAGACCATTCGCCATAGTATGAATCTTTACATATCATCACAACACAAATACAGGAGTGATTAATCAAGCAGAAGATGGGTTCAGCTGACAATTTATTACACCAAGTGCAAAATTTGTTTTTATATGTTGTGTGTGGATGCAAGACATGAATATTAGGCCGTAAAATGATGAGCGTGGATGGATCTCCATGGGCTTGTCTGTATATGTGTATGAGGGAAGCCGAAGAAGAAGGGTTTGAGACAGCTTTCGAACAGTGAATGCAAACGTTTCGGTTACTTGCACAGGCAAACAATCATCCTTCTTCAAACTGTCTTTATATGAAAACCATAATACACCTTTTCTCTCACTTTCCCACGTAACATAAGCAACCCGCCACTCTCATCACCCATCATAACCCCCACACCCTAATTTGACATCAACAAGACCTCAATTTCCACAACCAACTACTTTGACTATATTTACTTATCCAGCTATGTATCTTGTACGTACTCTTACAATTCTCTCTCTCTCTCTGTATCACTCATGTACTGTGTGCACACACGCACATCTTTTTGACCAGCTTGCAAACCCTAATTTTCCCTCCGCGGCCGCTTGCCGTTTGTGTCTCTCAATAAATGAATTCTGGTACAACTGATGCTGGCTTCCTTTAATTCTTGCAAAAATGGTATTC